CTTTGTAATATGGAACCTTGTGATACAATGTCAGAGAGATCCATACACTTACACACAAGTTATTGTCATGAAACTAGAAAAATGCTTGTTTTTTGCCCCATTTTGGCCCCTAATTCCTAAAATTTGGAGGCAATTACCCCCAAAATGAATCCCAACATTCCCTTTATGATATGGAACCTTGTGATACAATGTCAGAGAGATCCATACACTTACACACAAGTTATTGTCATGAAACTTGAAAAATGCTTGTTTTTTGCCCCATTTTGGCCCCTAATTCCTAAAATTTGGAGGCAATTACCCCCAAAATGAATCCCAACATTCCCTTTATGATATGGAACCTTGTGGTACAATGTCAGAGAGATCCATACACTTACACACAAGTTATATCTGGAAGTTACAAAAATGCTTATTTTTGGCCCCTAATTCCTTAACTGTGGGTACCATAACCCCCAAAATCAATCCCCACCTTCCTTTTGTGGTATTGAACCTTATGGTAAAATTTCATTGAGATCCATTCACTTAAACTAAAGTTAGAGTGTGAAAACTAATGTGTCTTCGGACGACGACGACGCCAACGTCATACCAATATACGACCACAAAAATTGTTTTGCGGTCGTATAAAAATCAGTTGAAAAAGGCTTAACTCATCAGATGGATACAAATAGAAATACATCTAACAAAAACACAGGTTGGACGTGGATGGGTACTTATACATCAAAACAACAAAAGACACCAAGTACAGATCTGAGAGTACTCGCAGTTACTGACAGCTAGTTCAAAGCCAATAACAACTAATAAAAAAATTGCCTATTATCTTAAAAAATTATAATAGAGAGAAACTTTATATTGCAAAAATGATCAGCAAGACAAGTTCTACAAATAAATCCACATGGTCGAAATTGTCAGTCGACTCCTTGTTAGAGTTATTGCCCTTTGATGACGATTTTTACCAATTGTTTGCGTTTTTGCCTTATATCTTAAAAATTATAATAGATAGATAGAAACTTAAATAAGCAAAAATGATCAGCAAGACAAAATCTGATCAGATCTACAATTAAGACTAATGGAGGAAATCGTCCGACGACTCCTTATTGGAGTTATTGCCCTTTAATACGATTTTTACCAATTTTTTAGTTGCTATTTGCAATATATGATAGAAATTAAAATAGATAAATAGACACTTTAAATCACAAAAATGATCAGCAAGGCAAGATCTACTAACAAATCAAATTTTGCCGATATAGTTAGTAGACTGTCACTCTTTATAGGAGTGATTGCTCTTAAATGAGGATATTTTTTTTTAACCTCCTTAGTGTTTTGAGCAAAAACTAAAGAAGATAGAGAGAAACTAAACAGATTAAATGATCAGCAATACAGGATCAACAAACACATAGATTCTTGTCATGAATTCTATTCTCATTTAAAATGTTGGAGAGTGACCTTTGTTGAATTTGCACATAGATCAATGTGAATGACACAGGCTCTTTAGAGCCTCTAGTTTAATAATAGTTTGGATTGACTTACAACTGTCATGAAGTGTTGGAGGTTGTTATATACATTTCTGATCAATCAGTTGTCCAATCAAGGTCGTTAAACACCCTTATAGTAGAGACAGTGTCTAATTCTACAATGAAACTTATGGTTAAAACCTGTGTAGAATAATGTTTATTATTGCTAATCACAGTGCCCAAAACTCAACTAAATAATAACATTAAATATAGATACAACGATTGCAATAAGTACAATGATACTTTATGATAATCAGGTTTGTGAATAAACAAAATGAATAGAAAGTAACTTAATTTTAACCAGCAATAATACCAAACTGGTACATGCATATATATATTAAATACTGTGACCATGTTCCATAATACGGAATGACAACTCATTTCCACTGCAATACCTGCTGTTACAAATGTATTTACAAGATGTATGGATAAATATTTATCTGTTTTATTGTTTTATGTACTTAACATTTACAATTCTTATTATATTGTTTAGTGCTTATGCTTAATGCACGACTAAGTTTTACTGCTTTAGCTTAGTGCATAATATATTGTTTAAGTACTTTATGTTAACATATATATATATATATAGAAACACTTAACATTGTCACATTTGTGTAGGACATGTATCTATGAACATATATATGTGTTTTTTTAAATGTATATGTTTATCTTCATTGTACATGATATTTCTTACGTAATTTGTGTTTATTGTAGCGTTTGTGTAGGTTTTAAAATCTCAGCTGAACTAATGCTGTACTGTTTTTATATGAACCGACTTTACTTTTTCCTTTTATGGTTTTTAGTCTTTTAAGTAATTTTTTTCTTATGGTTAAATATTCTGCTCTTGTAATTCTATATGAATGGCTTTTACATATTTGTGATTGTTTTAATCCAAGTGTTTTGTATTTGTTTGTAAAAGGTAAAAAGGTAAATCGTTTATATATTGTATTGTATTCTACTGTATCTACAGAAATTAAATTTATGTATTATGATCTCAATCATATTCATTTTCTGTATCCCTTGTATTGTAGATCAATTATATAAAAAAATAAGGGATGTGGTATGATTGCCAATGATACAACTATCCACCAAAGTTCAAATGAAGTGATGTAAGCAATTAAAGGCCAAGGTACGGGCTTCAACAATGAGAAAAATCCATATCGTATAGTCAGATATAAAAGGCACGACATGAAAAATTTGAAACAATTCAATTGAGAAATCTAACAGCCTAAAACAAATATGACAGAAGACATGAACCAATGGCAGCAACTGAACTACATGCTCCTGACTTGGGACAGGCCCATAAAGAATGTGGCTGGGTCAAAATGTCTGAAGGCGACAACCCTCCCTCTACCCCTATGTTGTTAACAGTATGTGATTATAGGTAGAAATGCTAAATTTTAAAGATAAAAGTAGACCAACATTTGCAAGAAGATAATGTGATGTGTCCATAGGACATCATGCCCTGCTCGTGCAATCACAGTTCTATGTCCAATGAATTACAAAAACTGGGTCAATACCCTAATTTGGCATACATTTTAAGAATTTCATATCATAATGAATATATGTACATTTCCGGTTGCTGTAAATATGTATTATGGTAAACTTCCTTAAAACAAAACTTTAATTAGATCAGTGAACCACAAAATCTAGGTCAAAACCTTTTCTGACATATATTTTTAAAAGTTTACATCATAATGAACTAAAGCTGATGTGACAGAAACTTTATGATGAACTACCTTAAACCAACACTTAAAGTTGAACAGTGTCATCTGGTCTATTAAATAAAGTAAACTTTGGTTTTAATTGGCTCTGTAGTTTTTGAAGAAAAAGATCTTTGAAAATGAACAACATAGGATGACAGATGCCTAGTCATCTCAATTAGTGTAAATTCAGAAATTATTGCGAGGTTTTTATTAATGCAAATAATGCGACTTGTTGAGTATCACAATAATAAAAACTCGCATTCTGATATCTGATACATATATCATGTATGAAGATTTTCCTGAGATCGCAATAATTAAGCTCGATTTTTGCCCATTCTTTAAAATTCGCAATAATAAATGACGCAATAAATTCTGAATTTTCAGTAGTTTGCAATAAAGGGCTGAATGAGCTAATAACTTTTCTATAAAATGTCTGTTTACTATTTAATTTCTTTTAAAATGTCTCAAGCATAACAGTTTGCCAGACTAACATCTTTAAATAATAATATTTTATTTTATTTTATTCATCAAAATCAAACAAAGTTGTTCCAAATTAAACATGACAAAATGAGGTTTTATCTTACAAAAAGTATTGCTGTTTTCAAAACATCAAGTGGCCAATATTTCATACATATTCAGGGCGAGAATAAGTAAACAATTAATACAACAGGTAAGTTCTGCATAATAAGTTGACAGGGATCAACAGTGGGAAATTTGACTGCATATAGAAAAAGACATTGGAAAGGGGCAGAAATTTTACTTGCATCAGGCCTCCTACAAGACCCCTGTAAGCGTGGATTAAACCATTGCATGGTTTAGGGTGCAGTTAACATGTTTATAAGTTATACAGACAGAAAATGCCTGCCACTGGGATGGATGGTCATTATTTTGTTAAAATTAATTGCATTTCTTTTTTTTTACAGAGATCAACATCTTTTAATAATCTTCTTGGAGTAGTGCCGTTACTCATAATCAAATATTGATATAAAAAATGGAGAATGTGTCCCCATGGACACAGATGATACCCCCACTTGCATACAACATTATAAAGGGACATAACTCAAAAACGATAAAAGTGACGCTACCAAAATTTGTACTTGATCTGAGTTTTGTGGTAATAAGTATCGTGTTTAGGTCTCAAAATGTTTGGTTGGGACAAACTTAAGTAACAGAATGGAAACTAAAAATTTTGCAATTTCGATTTTTACAGGGGCATAACTCGATAATGATTAAAGTGACGCCACCAAAATTCAACTTGATCTGTATTTTGTGGTAAAAAGCATTGTGTATAAGTTTCATAACATTTGGTTGAGGCAACTTTAGTTAGAGAACGGAAACTAAAAATTTTGCAATTTTTCCATTTATAAAGGGGCATAACTCTAGAACGGTTAAAGTGACACCACCAAAATTCAAACTTAATCTGTGTTTTGTGGTAATAAGCATTGTGCATAAGTTTCATAACATTTGGTTGAGGCAAACTTAAGTTAGAGAACGGAAACTAAAAATTTTGTAATTTTTCCATTTATAAAGGGGCATAACTCTAGAACGGTAAAAGTGACGCCACCAAAATTCAAACTTGATCTGTGTTTTGTGGTAATAAGCATTGTGTATAAGTTTTATAACATTTGGTTGAGGCAAACTCAAGTTAGAGAACGGAAACCAATTTTGGGACATACCGACGTATGTACAGACAGACAAGGGTAAAACTTAATGCCCCCTCCGCTACGGCGGGGGCATAAAAAAGTAATAGCTATAGTTCCATACTGATCTAAAACAAATACTGAAAAAGAACACAAATGTGTTATATTTATCTATTTATATCACATTAACAAGATTATAAAACATAACAATGAGTATTAATTCAGTGAGGGTATGTAATTATCTGTCCATGACATTTCTATACTTGGCCATTTTGTTTGTAGACAAAGTTTAATAGGAGATGTATCTGTTATAATCTGAACTTCTAATTCTTCTGGTAAAGTGGCTGTTCCAACAAAATATTTTACCTGAAACAAATTGAAAAATAATTATAGTATTTTCCTTGAAAATTAATCAAATCGTTCTCCCTAAGGAGCCAGAAAAAAATATTTAGAACAAATAAAATGTTTTGTAGCTGTCCATTATTGTTTTCAAGATAATATCCAAAAATGCAGTTCTCACAATCACAAATTATAAATGACTTATTACTTATAGTATCTGAGAAACTGACCTAATCATCAAAACTTAGCATTTCCTAATGAACAGTGAATATGAGGTCATGGTCAGATGATCATGAACCCTTTTAGATGGTCAAGGTCAAATATACAGTCTAATGAACATATGCAGAATCTGTTGATTACTATATTTTGACATTGCACAAGGTCATGTTTTTCTCGGACTGTGAGGGACTTTTTACACTAAATCCATTGGATGTTGGATGTGTACTGATTCATATTTTAGTCTTAGATACATGATTTTTCTTTAGTTGTTATTGACTTTGAACCAGCTGTCAGTAACTGAGAGTACTCTAAGATCTGTACTTTGTGTCATTTTTGTTTTTAAGGGATGTGTCAATACCCTGCCACATCCGATCTGTGATTTTGTTAGATGTTGTTCTGATTTGGATCTAATGAGTTAAGCCCTTTTCAACTGATATTTTTAGTTTGTTCTTATGTTGTACTGTTACACCACTGTTCCAGGTAAGGAAAGGTTTAACCCCACGTTGTTCTATATGTGCCTGTCCCAATTTATTAATGAACTGTGAAAATTAAATCAAGATCACGAGAAATCTGAAAATGAGGTCATGGTCAGATTAAACCTGTCAAATGGACATATACACCTTACAATCATTCTTTAAACCAAACATGGTTGAACCTACTTATAACATTTGATCAGAATTTTTTTAACATTGATTATTGAACCATGAAATGAGGCCAAGGTCAGGTGAATTATGTCTGACAGAAGTGATTGCTAATACCAAATATAGTACCCAAAAAAATCATGATAAAAAATTTTGTTTTTATGCACTCAGAGAACCATGAATACATATTAAGGGTCAACGTACATATTCAGGTAAGAAACTTTAGATCATATAGCATCTGTAAACAAAATATGACTTAATATAAGGCAGGCATTACCTGTAAAAGGGGATGAAGTCGGTATACATTAGTTTTTTTTTTAATTCAAGCATATTTTAACTTCAGAATCTGCTAAAAAAGAAACGGAAATACGGAAATGATTCCGATGTTGATTCTGTTATTTTCAATGTAAACAAAGAAAAGAAATTCAGGTAAAATTTTTTTCATATCAAAGAATAATGAAAATGAAATTGTAATTGTGCTTCTTCCTACATTTTACTAGACTGATAAATATATATTTTACTCAAAGTCTCGTGACAAAAACGAGACCGGAAGAAAGGAAAGAGATTTCTGCGCAGATGCGGAAAACTAAAAAAGTCTGAAAAAAAAAGTTAACGATTTTGAGTTCATTAGTAGATTGATTTTTTTTTTTTTTTTTTTTTTAATTATTGATTTTTCTACCGTAATTGGGGACTTCCTCCCCATATTAAGCTTTTCTGCCTTCTGAAATATAAAGCTTGATACAAATTGTCTATGCCAAAAGACACTGCAGTCCCTGCCAGATAAACATACCTGTGTCTCGGATTTTGTGATATTTGCAATTTGATTAGAATCCTATTTTTCACTTTGCTTTGTTAGATTTGTTTGTGACCATGTATAAGATCTGAAAACATGGCAAGAGGGGTTATGGTAAGATGACCTTGTATGAAATTTTTAATCAACCAACTATATCCAGTGACAAAAGGGGTCATATAAAGGGACATAACTGAAGAACGGTAAAAGTGACGCTACCCAAATTTGTACTTGATCTGAGTTTTGTGGTAATAAGTATTGTGTATAAGTTTCATAACATTTGGTTGAGGCAAACTTAAGTTAGAGGACAGAAACGAAAAATTCAGCAATTTTTCCATTTGTAAAGGGGCATAACTCTAGAACAGTAAAAGTGACATCAATAAAATTCAAATTTGATCTGTATTTTGTGGTAATAAGCATTGTGTATAAGTTTCATAACATTTGGTTGAGGCTAACTTAAGTTAGAGAACAGAAACGAAAAATTCAGCAACTTTTCCATTTGTAAAGGGCATAACTCTAGAACGGTTAAAGTGACACCACCAAAATTCAAATATGATCTGTATTTTGTGGTAATAAGCATTGTGTATAAGTTTCATAACATTTGGTTGAGGCAAACTAAAGTTAAAGAACAGAAATGAAAAATTCAGCAATTTTTCCATTTGTAAAGGGGCATAACTCTAGAACTGTTAACGTGACGCCACCAAAATTCAAACTTGATCTGTGTTTTGTAGTAATAAGCATTGTGTATAAGTTTCATAACATTTGGTTGAGGCAAACTAAAGTTAGAGAACTGAAACCAACTTTGGGATGTACGTACGTTCAGACAGACAAGGGTAAAACTTAATGCCCCCTCCGCTACGATGGGGGGATGAAAATTTACCCAAAAACATAAGTCTGACACAATTGTAGCAGAATGTTACTGTTATACAATGTATTGATTAAATATGGTATTGACTTAAGCTTGTGTCCTTAGTCCAAGTGTATTTTCTTTATATCTTCAAAGGTTTAATATTTTCTATAACTTATAACAATCATTCTGTTACCTTAGAATTCAAGCACGATCTAGGAATACCATTATAATGGTATAATTCAAATGTATTTGGAGTGTCCTTGATGACATCCCCTGGATAAAACTCCTCCATAAAACAGTGCATTGTAATTATACCCAGACTTTCTGAATCCAACTTGCTGGTCATAATATCTACACTAAAAATATAGATGCAATAAAAATATGTAATGATTTTCTGCACTGATGATCCATGTACATGACTACAATATCAAACTGTATAGAGCATACAATAAATGATAAGGTTGTATTGAAAAATGCTTTAACTAAAAATAGTTGCTTCTATGAGCCTGACCTGCTGATTTGTCAAAAATATGCCATATTGATATTCATTTTTACCCTTTCTTACAAGAATTTTTTCTTAATTTTTTCAGTGAAAACTTATAGGTTCCTGATAAATGACATGTTCCAAAAAAATAAATAAATGATCTAGTACAACAGGAGGTCAACTGGAATTAAAAAAACACTTGATCTGTAAATCATCATTATGCAGTAATGTACCAAATATCCGATTGGTTTTGATTGATTGATTGACTGTTGCTTGCTTAATGTACAGTGGTATCTTGGTTTTGAAAATAAAATTGTACTTGCAGAAGAGATAAACCAAAGAAATCTTACTGAAATTCAGTTCAAACACTTTTTTTATAAATTAACCTTAATTTTAAACACTTAGAAAGCCAACCTAGAGATATAAATATATATCTAAACCAAGGGTCCGGAAACGGTCATTATGCCAGTCATGTCCTAAGCTGCAAGCTATTTGTCCTAAACGAAAAATTGGGATTTAGGACAAATTTAATTTTTTTACAGAAATAATTTCGGTCATTTCATTGAGATCAGGTTTCTTAATCACCATTTTGCACTTGTAATTGTTTTAAAATCCCTTTCCTGTAATAAAACTGCCACTCCAGTATAGGTTGATAATCCTGAGGGCCTTCCTAATAACTATATCATGCCTCTGGGAAATATTGGCTAATGATCGCTAATCACTTTTTACCTGTGTTTTTAATTCACACCTGAAAATGATCACAAGCTCAGAACTAAATATCATAAAGAAATTAAAATTCTATGACACTGTATTCATCATTTAATTACTTTTCAGCAAAGACAATCAATAATTCTGATTTGAAAATTAAAACTTAATTTAATTTACATAGAAAAAAATAATTTTTCACGAGTAACATGCGTGCTTTATTTACTATGTAATATGCATGCGTGAAATTGTCTTCAGCAGATAGGACACTTAATCGTAAAATGCAAAATGATTTCACGCTTAATTAGACGAGTGCAACTTATATCTAAACACTTTCAAAGGTAATAAAATTTAAAACCCGGTGATTTCCTGTCAATTTGATAAACAAAACGAATCCCGGAAATGAATCCGTGATTAATCGTACTTTAGAATTGTCGCAAAACTTCTGGTTAAAATTTTGTCTAAAATCGAAAGAAACGTTAGCGATGTCTGAGAAATTAACCATTTTGAGTCATTAAAATCATTTCAAATTTAAACTGTTGCCTTCCCTAAACTGTTCTTGAATGTTTTGTGTAAAATAGTCAGAAAATTCACGAAGTAAATGCGATGAAACAGCCAATACAAGTTCGTTAGTGACCATTCGATGTCGACAATTTGAAAAAGGGCACCAACTTTTTAAGACAACTCAAAATGACCGAAATTGTGTGAAAAAATTTCCGGATCCTTGATCTAAACTTAGAGTCATATTGGACCCAAAAGATTTGAGCACTTACTATTCTTTTTCAGATACAAGGTCTAATGCACTCATCAAATCCCCTAATAATGATGTAGAAATAAAACCATTACCTGAAAAAAAACCATACAATCATTTTTTTTAAAAATGGCATCAGAATAAAATAACTTTGAATACAAAAATTTGATAAACAAATGAAAATCAATAGATAAGTTTTATTAGAAATTCATCTAATTAAAATATAACATGCTTTGTACCAGTTAAAACATGTTATACACAAATTTGTACAAATAAATGAATACATTGCATAGTTATCTCCTCCCCCAGCCCCATAATGTAATTATTTAAAATATCAATAAGCCAGTTGGGATTTTTAAAATCTTTTGAACCTCTTTTACACTTGTCACTGTAGGCATTTACAAAAAAATAGTTATACTTTGACAAATTTTTGTTCTTTAAAATATCTAACTTCAGCAAAGTTAATTTCACTATTGCAATAAAACATTGACCAGCAAGTTTACTCTTATGTAGCGTATACCCACATCTCTTTTATTCATATAAATAACATTTTGCTTACATCATTAGTTGCACACCACTTAAACATAAGTAACAACTTCAAAAGGATTTGGTGTCTGGTACTGGGATTAACACTTAACCTGTAAACATGAAGTCAGCAACTGTCTACATTAACACTTTACCTGTAAACATGAAGTCAGCAACTGTCTACATTAATACTTTACCTGTAAACATGTCGTCAGCAACTGTCTACATTCCCATTTACTATTATAACCATACTTTGATGACATTTTTATAGCAATTGCATCTAAGGCAGATTTTATGATGAGAAAAGTGTGCCAGTGGTATAGAATAATCATTAAAAAAAAATTAATCAAATCTCTAAAAATAATTCTTTATCACATGGAGAACTGGCAATGTTTGAATTAGTTCAGACAGTATGCAAATTTTGGAAACTGTAACAAATAATTTGTCCCTAACAGCGTGAATATACCTATTCAGAACTGGTTTTGGATACATCAGTTAACTGCCTTACCTTCAGGGTCAAATCTTTGAAATATATGTCTGGCACTGGACTTAGAAGATTCATTTATTATTAAATTTTCATCCTACAAAAGAAAATATGACATAAAACAGTGAATCGAAAATACAAATTAAATCCAAGATAAATATACTCTTACATTTATATTTGTAAGTATGAATGCATTGTTTTCTGTTTAGTTATCTGACAAATATCTTGATGTGCCCTGCTTTGTCTAAATGTTGATATTTTTTCCCTGCATTTTAGAATGATATTGTTAAGCAAATTATGACAGTATTTGTTAGATGTCTTTGTCCATTATAGTGTTAATGCACACATGTAGCATTTTTGACATCTAGCAAAGAACTTCCCTCAAACTGGTACTATGGATGGTTGGGAGGCATGAGCTTCTCTCAGCCTGGTGCTATGGATGGTTGGGAGGCAGAACTTCTGTTAAACTGGTGCTATGGATGATCAGGAGGCAGAACTTCCCTCAAACTGGTGCTATGGATGGTCGGGAGGCATGAACTTCCCTCAAACTGGTGCTATGGATGATTGGGAGGCAGAACTTCCCTCAAACTGGTGCTATGGATGGTCTGGAGGCATGAACTTCCCTCAAACTGGTGCGATGGATGGTTGGGAGGCATGAGCTTACCTCAAACTTGTGCTATGGATGGTTGAGAGGCATGAGCTTTTGTTCCATGTTAAATACCTCACTGTGACTTTTAGATTAAAGAACAGCAATTAACAGATTGATTCTTTACTTTAAGTTATATTATGTCCATTTAGGGTTTATGTGGGCTGAATTTATATACCATATATCTTCTCCATTATCTAGAGGTCAACAACAGACAAGTGACTATTTGTCAAGCTCTAAAGTGTCCCTTGTCTAGACATTATCTAGAGGTCAACAACAGACAAGTGACCATTTGTCAAGCTCTAAAGTGTCCCTTGTCTAGACATTATCTAGAGGTCAACAACAGACAAGTGACCATTTGTCATGCTCTAAAGTGTCCCTTGTCTAGACATTATCTAGAGGTCAACAACAGACAAGTGACCATTTGTCAAGCTCTAAAGTGTCCCTTGTCTAGACATTATCTAGAGGTCAACAACAGACAAGTGACCATTTGTCAAGCTCTAAAGTGTCCCCTGTCTAGACATTATCTAGAGGGTCAACAACAGACAAGTGACCATTTGTCAAGCTCTAAAGTGTCCCCTGTCTAGACATTATCTAGAGGTCAACAACAGACAAGTGACCATTTGTCAAGCTCTAAAGTGTCCCTTGTCTAGACATTATTAAGAGGTCAACAACAGATAAGTGTCTATACCATTTTTCAAGCTCTAAAGTGTCCCTAGTCTATACATTATCTAGCAGTCAACAACAGACAGGAGAAAAGAAAACAATACAGTAAGATGTGTTTCACTTCCTAACATTCAAACTCTCCGCAGAAAATCCTTCAGTAACAATGTATAATCTGTATACATACTTTAGAAAACTAAGCAGTAAGATATGTTTCACTCCCCAACATCCAAACTCTCCACATAAGATCATTTAGTCACAATTTATAATCTGTATACTTACTTTAGAAAACTAAACAGTAAGATATGTTTCACTCCCCAACATCCAAACTCTCCACATAAGATCCTTCAGTCACAATTTATAATCTGTATACCTACTTTAGACAAAAGTGCACACACTGAAATGTCTTGCCTATTTTACTGACCATTGATTTTATGTTGAAAATCTGAGATAAAAGTTTTACTACAAGTATCACATAAACTTAACATTTTTAAAGATCCATGACAATGAGGTCAAGGTCAGATAAAAACTGTCACACAGACATGTACACCTTACAATTATTCCATGCACCAAATATAGTTGACCCATTGCTTATGGTTATTGAAAAACAGACCAAAACACAAAAACTTAACTTAACCAATGAACATGAAAATGAGGTTTATACTTTCGTCCTGGAGGAAAATGACAGCTTAAGTAATATTGATAGACGGATGCCAAGTGATGACTTGAGACCTACATGACATGTTAGCACATAGGAGACGACGAATGCCAAGTGACGCCCCTAACACATTGTATGTGATCCTGGATACTACTGTGCTTTATGATTACCTCAAGACCTCTAACTTAAATTTGGAGATCCTCTTATATAATAGCTTCTTCAAGTGTTGCTCTTTAACCCTGGAACAGCTGGTGCCAAATTATACTCAACATAAACATGTACATGTATATACAACATGGGACCAAACGCTACAGTCTCTCAACTTGTCTTTAAGATGAAGAACTCATTGGGGGTCACTCAGCTGTTTCACATCTGATCTTTGGACCATTACGAAATTCACCACTGGTTAATTTCTCTTCTTATCCCCAAGTAATTAACTACTTTTCATCTCTCCACCGTCAATTCAACCCCTTTTCGTAGCACCCTGCTACGAGATGAAGCATCGCTTCATCCCCTTTTGGAACCCTCTGCGTTCCAGTTGATTGGCGGAGTGTCCATGTCCACGGGGCTTGGCTACCCACTATACCAAGTGTCGTCGACAGGGCCTGGAGCAAAATTTTCCCAGCTGAGATACTGACTCCCAAAGGGCAAACTTATATTATATAATAAAAGTGAAACTTTATCAAGCCTTTGTTATCAACAGCCTTATCAATTTGTCAAAGTACTTGCGTCAGGTTTAGTCATTTGTCTGGTTCTGGTTTTTATATGGTCAGTAATTGTGGTTCTTCATCTTAAAGACAAGTTGAGAGTCTGTAGCGTTTGGTCCCATGTTGTATATACATGTACATGTTTATGTTGAGTATAATTTGGCACCAGCTGTTCCAGGGTTAAAGAGCAACACTTGAAGAAACTATTATATAAGAGGATCTCCAAATTTAAGTTAGAGGTCTTGAGGTAATCATAAAGCACAGTAGTATCCAGGATCACATACAATGTGTTAGGGGCGTCACTTGGCATTCGTCGTCTCCTATGTGCTAACATGTCATGTAGGTCTCAAGTTATCACTTGGCATCCGTCTATCAATATTACTTAAGCTGTCATTTTCCTCCAGGACGAAAGTATAAATTGTAACTTATGCAGAGTATAAGTGTTGTTTATTCAGACGGGATGGTTTCTTCCATGAGATGGGGCAGTCGATTCCATTATAAGGTCAAAGGTCATGCCTAATTTGGTCTGTCTGATATCAAGGATTAGGTTCTCAGATTACAATTGCAGGCTGCCAGCTTCTCACTTTTGATTTTGCTGTTGAATACAAAGGACGTTTACTCAATAGGAATAGTAAAATGAAATTGAAAACTTATTCCTATTGAGTAAACGTCCTTTGTATTCAACAGCAAAATCAAAAGTGAGAAGCTGGCAGCCTGCAATTGTAATCTGAGAACCTAATCCTTGATATCAGACAGACCAAATTAGGCATGACCTTTGACCTTATAATGGAATCGACTGCCCCATCTCATGGAAGAAACCATCCCGTCTGAATAAACAACACTTATACTCTGCATAAGTTACAATCAAGGTCAATTGATACTGGCTAGCTATAGACAGACATGTACATCTTACAATCATCCCATACACCAATTATAGTTGACCTATTGCTATGGTAATTGAAAAACAGACCAAAACACAAAAACTTAACATTGACCAATGAACCATGAAAATGAGGTCAATGTCCGATGACACCAGCTAGACAGACATGTACAACTTACAATCATTCCATACACCTTATATAGTTGACCTATTGCTTACAGGACTTGAAAAACAGAACAAAACACAAAGAAATAACAATGATCAATGAACCATGAAAATGAGGTCAAGGTCAGATGAAACCTGCCAGTCTGACATGTACCCCTTACAATCATTCCATACATCACAGATAGTTGACCTGCTGCTTGTAGTATCTGAGAAACAGACCTAATCACGTAACTTTAACCTTGATCACTAATCCATGAATTGAGGTCGAGGTCAGGTTAACCCTGTTTGACCGACATGAAGACGTTGCAAGGAACCCATATACTAAATATAGTTATCCTATTACTCATAATAAGTGAGAAATTTACACGACAAAAAAAACTGTTTATTTTTTTCAAGCAGTCGCTGAACAATGAAAATGAGGTCAAGGACAATGAGCATATGACAGACAGAAACTTCTTAACATAAGGTATCTGCATACAAGGTAAGAAACATCTTCTTCCTACTGAAATATCAAGCTTTATACAAATAGTTTACGCCGCCGCAGCGGGATAGTAATACCTATGTCTCCCATACTGCAATTTTCATCGCAGGCGAGGCAAAAACAATACAGTAGGATGTGTTTCACTCCCTAACTTCCAAACTCTCCACATAAGACCCTCCATTCACAATGTACAATCTGTACTTACTTTAGAAAACAATACAGTAAGATGTGTTTCACTTCCTAACATCCAAATAGGAAACCTGGGATTCTTTAAGTACCAACCAACCTACAAAATTGTTTAAGTTTGATACTAAAAGGTCCACATGCTCAGTAATTGAATCCAATAGTTTCAAGAACTGACAGTGCTCATTTTGTTGTTCATCACTCAGTTTACCGTACTGTTCCATCAAGTACATGAACACAAGAACACACATACTAATTTTCTGTAAAAAGCACTTGTCCATTTATTCAGACTTAATCATTTGTCTTTAATTAGATATAATGTGCTGTTATCAAAATTAGGAAAAGTCTAAATCAGTAGTGTTATTCAAAATAAGCAGAAAACACCAAATAACATAATATTCTCTTTTTGAGATGGTTTACTTTTATACCAACATGTATATGCATTTCTGAATTTTGGTATCAATTCTTTTTTTATTTGCATTCAATTGCAAGATATTTAACCCAAAAAAACTCCAAAATAATATACTGACATTTTCTGTATATATTTCAGCTCTGGAGAATAAAATATGATGTAGGGTCAATGAGATAGGAACCCAAAAGAGGAAAAAAGAAAAACATATATAGAAGCCTGCTTATTGTTAAATGACTACCAATGTCAGCTTCATTTCTTATATTCATTTATATGCGTATAAACCCAAAAGCAGATTGGATTTGTCAAATTGGACTCCATCATCAACATTCTATAAGAAGTTCTATACAAATAAGGCACATATCAAATAGTTCTATATGGCTAGTGACCAACTGAAGCATAATGATGAACAAATTTCTTTTTGTATGGTAACTATTTTTCATGTCAAAATAAGGTTTAACTAGTATGAATATTTTCTGCGAATTTAAAGATTTTAATACCTTGTATATAAAGAAATCTATTATTATTGACTCAATGGTAGGTTTTCTTATCAAAACTTTAAAAAGTAATAAATTGTAATACAAATGTAGTAAAACTAAATGTCCATTGCTTTTTCATGACAGTTGCCTTAACAAATATGATGGTATAATAAGAGCTGTATAATGATTATTTCATATAATATACAAACCTCACAATAACGCATATATTCCATTAATGTTAAAAATCCTATGGTAGACTGTCTTGGAATGCCTCGTAATTCTGAAACAAAAGGTTTAAGCTTTGACATACGGTGCAGGCACCTGTTAAACATAGTATGTTGACCTCTAGATGTCTTATGTATGTCTGTGTTGTTAGGTGATAGTCTAAATGATGTACAAACCAAAATCTCCCTTTTATTCCTCTACATAAGTAATCTATTATATTGTTATATGTAATTATTGGTACCTTAATTTTTGTTTCCTGTATTTCATATGTATCACAAAACTAAGTACTTTTTCTCATCTGGTTTTCTTGTACATTTTTCTGTGCAATTTTATTAATCTACTAAGAGAATAAAAAAAGGATCCAGTTAAATCCCGCCACATGTTCTAGTTAATGTTCCATGTAAGGCACCTGTTGATAACAGATCTTTTATAATTTTTATTAAATTTATTGAAACCTTTTTGTAGGGCGATTTAGAGCTTGAGATACTCTAAATAAATAAAGAATGTAAGTTGACTACTTGATGTCTTTTGGTTTTTGTAATTGTTGTTGGGTTGCTGTCTGATTGACATAATTCCCACATCTTCATTTATTTGTATGCTACTTTATTTAGAGTATAAATTATTTTAAGTTTAAATATTCAATAAAAAGTAAAGATAATTTAGATTAAAAAAGTTTGTCATGCTATTCTTGTGATTAAACTTTTTTATGTATCTGTAAGGCTTGATAGTCCTATTAAAACATATAAAGTAAGTCAAAAGTTATTTTTTCCTATAACTTTGACTATTTCATAAAGTACATCTACAAGTACATACTGAAGATTGTACCAAATAAGGAAAGCAAGACTTTTTTAAATGCTCATTTCTAGTTTCCTAATGTTTTACTTTGTGTCTTGTATATTCACTGTATGAAAATTATTCAAAATGACACATTTATTATAAGTATTTTCACCAGAACTATACCAATCTATATATAAAACAAACAAAAAAAGTCTAAAAAAACAATCACATGAAGACTTATTGCTTAATATAACCCTTAATTTGTTTGACACATGAGAAAGATTTTAAAACATGTCATTTGCATTGAAAATAAAATCAGATGCATTTGTTTTGTATCTGAAAAACCACCTTGAAATAAGCACACATGTTTACAATGTACCAGACAAAGTAGAGTCAACAATGTATCCATACATTTTTTTTTGTACATCATCAAATCTTAATCATTCACTTGCACTTTTTTTTTATTTAAAGCAGTAGTTTGAAGCTATCGTTTCAAGTATTGGAAGGGATATACATACCACTTGGTTTGAAGTTTTTTTTTTTTCGTAGATCTTATTCAAGCAGAATTTTGTTATTTAAGTAAAGCATATAACTAACAGTAAACTTGTCAACTGTAAGTTAGAATAACTGAAATTGAATTAAAAAGTTTCCTTTGTATATTTGAAAAAAAAATTTGGGAAATCGACTTAATATCAATACAACAGGCTTAACTGACAAATTTATGTAGTTAACAATTATTAAGTATGATATAATTTCTTATCAACTTCTCAAAAATTAACTTAAACCTGAAATATCTTTATCATTATCCCATACATTGGTTACAGCTTTACCACTCAGTCCCTTCCCAACACATATACAATATTACTTACTTAAACCTGAGATATCTTTATCATTATCCCATACATTGGTAACAGCTTTACCACTCAGTCTCTTCTAGACACAAATACAATATTACTTACTTAAACCTGAGATATCTTTATCATTATCCCATACACTGGTTACAGCTTTACCACTCAGTCTCTTCTCGACACAAATACAATATTACTTACTTAAACCTGAGATATCTTTATCATTATCCCATACATTGGTTACAGCTTTACCACTCAGTCCCTTCCCAACACATATACAATATTACTTACTTAAACCTGAGATATCTTTATCATTATCCCATACATTGGTAACAGCTTTACCACTCAGTCTCTTCTAGACACAAATACAATATTACTTACTTAAACCTGAGATATCTTTATCATTATCCCATACACTGGTTACAGCTTTACCACTCAGTACCTTCTCGACACAAATACAATATAACTTACTTAAACCTGAGATATCTTTATCATTATCCCATACATTGGTAACAGCTTTACCACTCAGTCCCTTCCCGACACATATACAACATTACTTACTTAAACCTGAGATATCTTTAACATTATCCCATACATTGGTAACAGCTTTACCACTCAGTCCCTTCCCGACACATATACAATATTACTTACTTAAACCTGAGATATCTTTATCATTATCCCATACATTGGTTACAGCTTTACCACTCAGTAATAAGTTAATTAGACTTTGGCTGTAAAAAAAAAAAAATCGTTGTATTGAAAAACTCTGTGTTTAATTGCAATGTTTTTATTCTCTTTTCACAGATTATAAGCTGAATAATCAACTATGATATATCATTAGTTACTGAAGCAGAAAAAATAGTATCAAATATCCTTACATTCAGTAAAATTTGTTTTACTTTTTACCTACAGCCATGACCTGTATATTGTATATTAACTGTTTATAAACATGTGTAATTGTGTGATTTTACCTGCCATGATTATGTATACTGTCTATAAACTTGTGTAATCGTGTGACTTTACCTGCCATGACCATGTATACTGTCTATAAACTTGTGTAATTGTGTGATTTTTACCTGCCATGATTATGTATACTGTCTATAAACTTGTTTAATGGTGTGACTTTACCTGCCATGACCATGTATACTGTCTATAAACTTGTGTAATCGTGTGACTTTACCTGCCATGACCATGTATACTGTCTATAAACTCGTGTAATCATGTGGTTTTACCTGCCATGACCATGTATACTGTCTATAAACTTGTGTAATCGTGTGAAGTTACCTGCCATGACCATGTATACTGTCTATAAACTTGTTTAATGGTGTGACTTTACCTGCCATGACCATGTATACTGTCTATAAACTTGTGTAATCGTGTGACTTTACCTGCCATGATTATGTATACTGTCTATAAACTTGTGTAAAAGTGTGACTTTACCTGCCATGACCATGTATACTGTCTATAAACTTGTGTAATCGTGTGACTTTACCTGCCATGACCATGTATACTGTCTATAAACTTGTGTAATCATGTGACTTTACCTGCCATGACCATGTATACTGTCTATAAACTTGTTTAATGGTGTGACTTTACCTGCCATGATTATGTATACTGTCTATAAACTTGTGTAATCGTGTGACTTTACCTGCCATGACCATGTATACTGTCTATAAACTTGTGTAATCGTGTGACTTTACCTGCCATGACCATGTATACTGTCTATAAACTTGTGTAATCGTGTGACTTTACCTGCCATGACCATGTTTACTGTCTATAAACTTGTGTAATCGTGTGACTTTACCTGCCATGACCATGTATACTGTCTATAAACTCGTGTAATCGTGTGACTTTACCTGCCATGACCATGTATACTGTCTATAAACTTGTGTAATCGTGTGACTTTACCTGCCATGACCATGTATACTGTCTATAAACTTGTTTAATGGTGTGACTTTACCTGCCATGACCATGTATACTGTCTATAAACTTGTGTAATCGTGTGACTTTACCTGCCATGATTATGTATACTGTCTATAAACTTGTGTAAACGTGTGACTTTACCTGCCATGACCATGTATACTGTCTATAAACTTGTGTAATCGTGTGACTTTACCTGCCATGACCATGTATACTGTCTATAAACTTGTGTAATCATGTGACTTTACCTGCCATGACCATGTATACTGTCTATAAACTTGTTTAATGGTGTGACTTTACCTGCCATGATTATGTATACTGTCTATAAACTTGTGTAATCGTGTGACTTTACCTGCCATGATTATGTATACTGTCTATAAACTTGTGTAATCGTGTGACTTTACCTGCCATGACCATGTATACTGTCTATAAACTTGTGTAATCTTGTGACTTTACCTGCCATGACCATGTTTACTGTCTATAAACTTGTGTAATCGTGTGACTTTACCTGCCATGACCATGTATACTGTCTATAAACTTGTGTAATCATGTGACTTTACCTGCCATGACCATGTATACTGTCTATAAACTTGTGTAATTGTGTGACTTTACCTGCCATGACCATGTATACTGTCTATAAACTTGTTTAATGGTGTGACTTTACCTGCCATGACCATGTATACTGTCTGTCTATAAACTTGTGTAATCATGTGACTTTACCTGCCATGACCATGTATACTGTCTATAAACTTGTGTAATCGTGTGACTTTACCTGCCATGACCATGTATACTGTCTATAAACTTGTTTAATGGTGTGACTTTACCTGCCATGATTATGTATACTGCTATAAACTTGTGAAATCGTGTGACTTTACCTGCCATGACCATGTATACTGTCTATAAACTTGTGTAATCGTGTGACTTTACCTGCCATGACCATGTATACAGCCTGTAAACTAGTGTAATCGTGTGACTTTACCTGCCATGACCATGTATACTGTCTATAAACTTGTGTAATCGTGTGACTTTACCTGCCATGACCATGTATACAGCCTGTAAACTAGTGTAATCGTGTGACTTTACCTGCCATGACCATGTATACTGTCTATAAACTTGTGTAATCGTGTGACTTTACCTGCCATGACCATGTATACTGTCTATAAACTTGTGTAATCATGTGACTTTACCTGCCATGACCATGTATACTGTCTATAAACTTGTGTAATCATGTGACTTTACCTGCCATGACCATGTATACTGTCTATAAACTTGTGTAATCATGTGACTTTACCTGCCATGACCATGTATACTGTCTATAAACTTGTGTAATCGTGTGACTTTACCTGCCATGACCATGTATACTGTCTATAAACTAGTGTAATCGTGTGACTTTACCTGCCATGACCATGTATACTGTCTATAAACTTGTGTAATCATGTGACTTTACCTGCCATGACCATGTATACTGTCTATAAACTAGTGTAATCGTGTGACTTTACCTGCCATGACCATGTATACTGTCTATAAACTTGTGTAATCATGTGACTTTACCTGCCATGACCATGTATACTGTCTATAAACTTGTGTAATCATGTGACTTTACCTGCCATGACCATGTATACTGTCTATAAACTTGTGAAATCGTGTGACTTTACCTGCCATGACCATGTATACTGTCTATAAACTTGTGTAATCGTGTGACTTTACCTGCCATGACCATGTATACAGCCTGTAAACTAGTGTAATCGTGTGACTTTACCTGCCATGACCATGTATACTGTCTATAAACTTGTGTAATCGTGTGACTTTACCTGCCATGACCATGTATACTGTCTATAAACTAGTGTAATCGTGTGACTTTACCTGCCATGACCATGTATACTGTCTATAAACTAGTGTAATCGTGTGACTTTACCTGCCATGACCATGTATACTGTCTATAAACTTGTGTAATCGTGTGACTTTACCTGCCATGACCATGTATACTGTCTATAAACTAGTGTAATCGTGTGACTTTACCTGCCATGACCATGTATACTGTCTATAAACTTGTGTAATCATGTGACTTTACCTGCCATGACCATGTATACTGTCTATAAACTTGTGTAATCGTGTGACTTTACCTGCCATGACCATGTATACTGTCTATAAACTTGTGTAATCATGTGACTTTACCTGCCATGACCATGTATACTGTCTATAAACTTGTGTAATCATGTGACTTTACCTGCCATGACCATGTATACTGTCTATAAACTTGTGTAATCATGTGACTTTACCTGCCATGACCATGTATACTGTCTATAAACTTGTGTAATCGTGTGACTTTACCTGCCATGACCATGTATACTGTCTATAAACTTGTGTAATCATGTGACTTTACCTGCCATGACCATGTATACTGTCTATAAACTTGTGTAATCATGTGACTTTACCTGCCATGACCATGTATACTGTCTATAAACTTGTGTAATCATGTGACTTTACCTGCCATGACCATGTATACTGTCTATAAACTAGTGTAATCGTGTGACTTTACCTGCCATGACCATGTATACTGTCTATAAACTTGTGTAATCATGTGACTTTACCTGCCATGACCATGTATACTGTCTATAAACTTGTGTAATCATGTGACTTTACCTGCCATGACCATGTATACTGTCTATAAACTTGTGTAATCATGTGACTTTACCTGCCATGACCATGTATACTGTCTATAAACTTGTGTAATCGTGTGACTTTACCTGCCATGACCATGTATACTGTCTATAAACTTGTGTAATCATGTGACTTTACCTGCCATGACCATGTATACTGTCTATAAACTTGTGTAATCATGTGACTTTACCTGCCATGACCATGTATACTGTCTATAAACTTGTGTAATCGTGTGACTTTACCTGCCATGACCATGTATACTGTCTATAAACTTGTGTAATCATGTGACTTTACCTGCCATGACCATGTATACTGTCTATAAACTGTTCCCCTGGATCTTCTACTTCATTCTTTATTTGTTCTATACCCTGAAAAAAATAATTAAGAGTACTTATGCTCTCATTTCAATCAACAGTTTGTATAAAAGTCACAGCACTTTATGGATGTATAAAAGTCACAGCACTTTATGGATGTATCTTTAAATACACTTCTGTTCATACTGAGTTATTTCACAATATCACCAGCGACCACCAAAATTTTTTGATGTCGATCTGGACATGTTTCATCTATATAAAAAACATGATAAAATAAAATGCTCCGCTGGGCGCAGCTTGATACGACCGCAGAGGTCGAACCCTGAACAGTTGGGACAAGTATGGACACAACATTCAAGCTTGATACAGCACTGAATTTGGATTGTGATTAAATATTTAACACAGCATAGGCTTCTGACACAGAATGAATGTGGTCTAAGAACTTAAAAAAAAATTTAATTTACCTATTCAAACAATATCATCATTATTTGCTTTTATATATAAATCAGAAATAACTAATTTAAAATGGAAAATTTTAAAGAAAAAAAAAGGAAAAAAAGGAAAAAAAAATCCCTCCCCCAAATTTTTGAACCCCCTTATGATTCATCAACCCCAAACTCAATCCCAGCCTTCCCTTTGTGGTATGGTACCTTGCAGTACAATTTCAGATAGATCCATACACTTGAACACAAGTTATTGTCTGGAAACTAGAAAAATGCTTGTTTTTAGGCCCCTTTTTGGCCCCAAATTCCTAAACGTTTTGGGCAATTACCCCCAAACTCAAACCCAGCTTTCCCTTTGTGATATGGAACCTTGTAGTACAATTTCATAAAGATCCATACACTTACACACAAGTTATTGTCCTGAAACTAGAAAAATGCTTGTTTTTTGCCCCTTTTTGGCCCCTAATTCCTAAAATTTTGAGGCAATTATCCCCAAAACCAATCCCAGCCTTCCCTTTATGGTATGGTACCTTGCAGTACAATTTCAGAGAGATCCATACACTTGAACACAAGTTATTGTCTGGAAACTAGAAAAATGCTTATTTTTGGCCCCTTTTTGGCCCCTTATTCCTAAACGTTTTGGGCAATTACCCCCAAACTCAATTCCAGCTTTCCCTTTGTGATATGGAACCTTGTAGTACTATTTCAGAAAGATCCATACACTTACACACAAGTTATTGTCATGAAACTAGAAAAATGCTTGTTTTTTGCCCCTTTTTTGGCCCCTAATTCCTAAAATTTTGAGACAATTACCCCCAAAATCAATCCCAGCATTCCCTTTGTGATATGGAACCTTGTGGTACAATGTCAGAGAGATCCATACACTAACACACAAGTAATTGTCTGGAAGTTACAAAAATGCTTAATTTTGGTCCCTAATTCCTTAACTATTGGTACCATAACCCCCAAAATCAATCCTAACCTTCCTTTTGTGGTATTGAACCTTATGGTAAAATTTCATAGAGATCCTTTCACTTAAACTAAAGTTAGAGTGCGAAAACCAATGTGTCTTCGGACGACGACGATGACAACGCCAACCTCATCCCAATATACGAATAAAAGTATTTCATAATAAAATGCTTCGCTGGGGCGCAGCTTGATACGACAGCAGAGGTCGAACCCTGAACAGTTGGGGCAAGTATGGACACAACATTCGAGCTTGATACAGCTCTGAATTTGGATTGTTATTAAATATTTGACACAGCATAGGTTTCTGACACAGAAAGAATGTGGTCTAAGAACTTGAATTTTTTTAATTTACCTATTATGGTCCAATGTCCAAAATCAAAATACATGGTTAGATTCAGCATATCAAAGAACCCCATATATTCAATTTTTGTTAAAATCAAACAAAGTTTAATTTTGGACCCCAACTTGGACAAACTTGAAAACTGGGCCCATAATCAAAAATCTAAACACATGTTTAGATTCAGCATATCAAAGAACCCCAAGAATTCAATTTTTGCTAAAATCAAACTAAGTTTAATTTTGGACCCTTTGGACCTTAATGTAGACCAATTTAAAAAACGGGACCCAAATTAAAAATCTAAAAACACGGTTAGATTTGAAATATCAAACAACCCCAATAACTCAATTTTTGATGAAATCAAACAAAGTTTAATTTTGGACCCTTTTGACCTCAATATGAACCAATTTGATAGCGAGGCCTACAAATAAAAAATCTAAATACATGGTTAGATTCAGCATATCAAAGAACCTCATATATTCAATTTTTGTTGAAATCAAACAAAGTTTAATTTTGGACCCCAATTTGGACCAACTTGAAAACTGGGCCAAAAATCAAAAATCTAAATACATGTTTAGATTCAGCATATCAAAGAACCTCATATATTCAATTTTTTGCTAAAATCAAACACAGTTTAATTTTGGACCCTTTGGACCTTAATGTAGACCAATTTGAAAACTGGACCCAAAATTAAAAATCTAAATACACTGTTAGATTCGGCATAAAAAATAAATAAATGTGATCAAAGATTTTACAAATCTAATGCGCCATACTGTGCAATTAAAGATTACTTCTTGAAATTTTTCAATATTTGAAATTTGAAAAAAAAATAATATTTGAAGAATAATTCTTTTTAATTTCTGAAATCTGAAATGAGAAAAAATTGACCCCCCACAATTTCTTTTTACCCCCCCCCCCCCTTTTTTCCCCAAAAAAATTCTTTCCCTCAAGATATGGTCATAATCTCAATTCAAATTTCCAATGGAGTTGGCAACCATAATTACCCATTTAAATTTACCATAGTGCTAACTTAATCTATTTTATAATAGAATTAAAAATATAGTGTCAAATCTTTCATATGGATTTTTTTGTAAAAAAAAAAGATGCAACATTTGCAGATATTTTTACTGGTCTTCCTTTATAAATATGCATTTCTTTAAACATAATTTAAAAGCAGTGTAAGGGAAGTAACCAAAACGTTGTATTTGGATTACCTCCCTTACACTGTTTTAAATTATCTTTATTGTTCATTAACCATTAGGTGGCAGGTACCAGTTTTGGTGTACCAGAACATGTGTCCCACGCAGAAATTTGGTTATAGTTAAGCATTGAGGTATAATATTGCATCATGTGGACTGAAAAAATAAATGAATGTAAATTCTAGGCTATTGTACTACACAAGTAAGTAGTTGCATACACAGGTTGGGGATTTCCTTCACAAATGGGTCCAATCAGAAGTCAAAATTGTGGTCTCCTCACTTGACGGCATCCAATCAAAGTGGGGAAAAACTTCAGTTTTATGTAAACAAAAATATCTTGAGATTTTGATGGTAAGGATAGGTTCGGACAAGGCTCTAATTCACTGAATATCATTTATCTCTTGGATTTTGCCTAAAATTCTTGTCGGCTTTTAGCAGGATTCTGCAGGTAAGGATTAGATTGGTATCAGAGCATCACATTTTTTGCCTTATTTGCAATGCATTTATAAATTTTAAAATATCCATGCTGGACAGACACCCAAATTTAAAGGTTTTCTATATATTCACATAAGCACGCACACATCTTAGTTACTTGAATCCATACATTTTATTTGTATATAAGCTTGAATGAATTTTCAAGAAAATAAAATCATAAATCCATGAAATTCTAAAGATTTATTGTAAAATAACTGGTTTCTGCCACCTTACATTATACATAATTTAAAAGCAGTGTAAGGGAGATAATTTCAATGATGTATTTGATTTATCTCCCTTACACTGCTTTAAATTATGTTTTGTACTAAAGTATTTGTCCATTAACCAGGACAACCTTGTTTTTCCCCCTTTTTTGCCCCTAATTCCTAAACGGTTTGAGCCATAACCCCCCAAAGCAAATCCTAACCATCCCTTTGTGGTATGGAAACTTGTAGTATAATTTCAGAGAGATCCATACACCGTTCCACAGTTATTGTCTGGAAACTAGAAAATGCTTATTTTTGGCCCCTTTTTGGCCCCTTATTCCTTAACTGTTGGTACAATAACCCCCAAAATCAATCCCAACCTGCCTTTTGTGGTATTTAACCTTATGGTCAAATTTTAAAAAGATCCATTCACTTAAACTAAAGTTAGAGTGCGAAAACCAATGTGTCTTCGGACGACGACGCCGGACGACGACGACGACGACGCCAACGTCATACCAATATACGACCACAAAATTTTTTTGCGGTCGTATAAAATTGATCCTTATAATCTCCAGATGCCTTAAAGATACCACTGAAATTATATTAAATACCAAAGCTATATACAAATATAAACTATTTTCACAAAAGATGAATTCCTCAAAATAAGAGATAACGCCTTGAAATATCAAGTCTTCTATCAGAAATTTCCAGAAAATCTTCCTTGGAAGCAAAGTGGGGAATCTGAATGAATTATTGTTTAGTGTGAAAGGACAAATCTTATTTTGTACAGGGGCAGTCTTTTATATAGATTTCAGACAGATTGAAAACCTAACAATCAATATATCTCATTTAAACAGGAAAAAAGTCAAGATGCATGTATGATGTATGTTTAGTATTGAAGAAAAACAAGTACTTGCACAACTAAAGTTTAATAAAAAACAAGCATTCTGTACATAGTCCCCTACCGGTTAAAAAATTCTTTATACACGAACAAAAGGCTAACTTGATTTATAACTTGTCAAGGTGTAAACTTTATCACAAATATCAAGTCAATATCTTCAAGCATGACGAAAAAACGTGCAGAAAACTGATTATTTGAGTGAATTTTTTAAGTCCAAGGACCATAACTCTGTAACTTGTCATGATAAAACTATATACCAATTATCAAATCAATATCTTCAAGCATGACGAAAAAACGTGCAGAAAACTGATTATTTGAGTGAATTTTTTAAGTCCAAGGACCATAACTCTGCACAAAATCATCAGACCAGAACAAAATTCGAACTTGATCTGTAACTTGTCATGATAAAATGATATACCAAATATCAAATCAATATCTTAAAGCACAAAGAAATAAATACGGAATGTGTCCGTGGGATACAGATGATGCCCCCGCTTGCAGATATCATTATAAAGGGCCATAACTCAAATACTGTAAAAGTGACACTACCCCAGTTTGACCTTGATATGAGTTTTGTGGTAATAAGCATTGTTTATAAGTTTCATAACATTTAGTTGATGTAAACTTAAATTAGAGAACAGAAACGAAAAATTCAGCAATTTTTCCCTTTTTTAAGGAGCATAACTCTAGAACAGTAGAAGTGACGCCACCAAAATTCGATCTATATCTGTGTTTTGTGGTAATTAGCATTGTGCATAAGTTTTATAATATTTGGTTGAGGCAAACTAAAGTTAGAGAACAGAAACAAATATTTCAGCTATTTTGAGCTTTGTAAAGGGGCATAATTCTAGAACGGTAAAAGTGATGCCAACAAAATTCAAACTTGATCCGTGTATTGTGGTAATTAGCATTGTGAATAAGTTTCATAACATTTAGTTGAGGCAAACTAAAGTTAGAGAACAAAAAGTAATATTTCAGCAATTTTTCCATTTGTAAAGGGGCATAACTTTAGAACGGTGAAAGTGACACCACCAAAATTCAAACTTGATCTGTGTTTTGTGGTAATAAACATTGTGGATAAGTTTCATAACATTTGGTTGAGGCAGACTCAAGTTAGAGAACGGAAACAAAAAAATCAGCAATTTTTTCATTTGTAAAGGGGCATAACTCTAGAATGGTAAAAGTGACACCACCAAAATTCAAACTTGATTCTAACATTTGGTTGAGGCAAACTAAAGTAAGAGAACGGAAACCAATTTTGGGACGTACATACAGATGGACAATGGTAAAACTTAATGCCCCCTCCGCTATGGTGGGGGCATAAAAAAGTGTAGAAAACTGATTTGCCGGACTGACTGACAGACAGACTGAGGGAGTGCAAACTTAAAGTCCCCTCGACTTCGTCCGTAGGGGACTAAAAAGAAAATTGCTAATTAATCTGAAATAACAACAGAATTACATAAGAATACATGGAAGTGAACAAACCTTAGTTAATATTATGGAATATAAATACAGCACAACCCCAAAGGTCTCCTGAAACATTGATAGCTTGGACTTAACATAGGTTCTCAAATCATCTTCATTCTGACATTTGGTGCATCTGTAAAATAAGGCTTACATAATATTAAATGTTTTCTACAAAATAAAATTCCTACATAAAATGCTAAAAAAAATGTGGACTTTATTTTTATAACTTCAAAGAGAAGATAGTACAACAATATCAAATGATATAGATACATGTATATAACAAAATGTTTCAATAATCATTTATTTTTGTAGATTAATTCATCCATTACTTTACAACTCAGCAAACCATTTAAATGTTTTGTTAAACATTCATAAGATAAAAAAGAAAATCTAAGATAAGTCATAAAACTACTATAAACTGGTACCGATATTTCAGCAGAGGCAAATAGACTACATTTCAAAGAAAGTTGATTCTATCTGTGTGGTTTTCGGCTGAATTTTTGCCTATTTTTCCTGACCTTATGTGCTTGTCTGAACAAAAGTATATGAGTCAGTTAACTTAAACAACCTTGCAGAAATGTTGTAGCTACTTCATTTTTCAATCTTCCAAAGTGGACTTGCAAGAAAAGGAACTAGATTTTTTTCAGAAGAGTCAAGTAACTCTTAATTTTTTACCATGGCGATACACTATTATAAAAAAAATTCAACATAGTCAAACCAGTGTTCACTCATCATTCAAGTATACTGGTTAAACAAAATGGGGGGAAATTCAGAGTAAAAAGTAAAATAACAAAAATACCGAACTCCAAGGAAAATTCAAAACGGAAAGTCCCTAATCAAATGGCAAAATCAAAAGCTCAAACATATCAAACGAATGGAAAACAACTGTAATATTCCTCACTTGGTACAGACATTTCCTTATGTAGAAAATGGTGGATTAAACCTGGTTTTATCTATCTAAAGTAAGATTGCTAATTCATTTTTTTTTATAATAAAGTAATGATTCCTAGACAAAGCTCATGAAATCTTATTGCAGATTTGGACTCTTCTGTTTAGAAAACGTAGAGTTCTTAATAATAATAAACATTCAATGAAAAGAGGTTCTTGATATTTTTACAGAAGATCAACAGCTCATTCCTCTTACCAGAAAATATTTTGATGCAGATAGATTTAACATTAGAATTTTTTTCAACTGTATATTTACATGTTCATACTATTTATTCAAATCTTCATTTAATACTATGTAATATACCTAATTCTAGTATGGAATAAGTCTGCATCTAATTTTGGACGTTTGGCACAACTTTCGCCATTTTTTGTCTCGCTGTTTTCCTTTGATGTACTACAACTTTCATCTTTATTTGTATCATCGTCATTTTTATCATCCTCCAAGTAGATTACAGAAAAGACACCAGATTTAGATGAAACTTCCAACATGATTTCTACTAGGGCTGATCCTAACAGTTCATTGGCCTTTTCCTCTGCAAAAGGATGGACATTTTTATGATTTTAGACTTTTGACTAATATGTAGTTTGACATTTGCCCTGAGTTTGACACAAAAGCAAAGTTTTTTGGATGAAGAATCTCTACCAGAGCTACTGTGTCATGTATTTTTTCAGTATCTATGTCATACAAACTATTCTTAATTTATAAGGTCATTCATATTTCACTAATATGATACCACATAATGGCACAAATTTATAGTACTTTAATCAGTATATGTACATTTAATATATTTACAATTGGTGTTCAATTCATACAAAACGTTGAAACGTTGATCTTTTAGAGGCTGAAAAAAAAACAGCTGTGCCATGAGCCCATGATACATCTGTTGTGTCTTCAAAGAATAAAGTTCAATAACTTCTCAATATTATGTCAGAAATTTATAAAAAAATAAATGAGGATAGTTATAAAGGGACATAACTGAAGAACGGTAAAAGTGACGCTACCCAAATTTGAACTTGATCGGAGTTTTGTGGTAATAAGCATTGTGTGTTAAGTCTCATAACATTTGGTTGAGGCTAACTTAAGTAGAGAACAGAAACTAATAAACTGCTTCGCTGAGCACAGCTGGATACGCCCTGCAGTGGTCCAACCCTGAACAGTTGGGGCAAAAATGGACACAATATTCAAGCTTGATACAGGTTTGAATTTGGATTGTAATTAAATATTTGACATATTATAGGTTTCTGAATAAATGTAGTCAAAGAACTTGAAATTGGTTATATGAATTGAATTTATCTTCAATTAGAGATTTCTTGCTGTTGTGCAATACTTAGTAAATCTGTTGTCAGACTATAAACAAATAAAGTTCAATTTCTTCTCAATGTCATATTTGAAATTTATGAAAATCAATAGGGAGATTACATCAATAGCTATAAATAATTCACCAAAGTTTCATGAGAACTGCTGAAAGCATTTTTGAGTTATTTTCTGAAAACTGGAAAATCCCCCCTTTTTTAATGAATAAAACCCCATAACTCAGAAATTTAAAATATAAAATTTATAAAAATAGAAAGGGAGCTTACAAAAATAGATATAAACAATTTACCAAAGTCTCATAAAAAATGCTTTCCATTTTTGAGTTATTGTCCAAAAACTGGAAAATCCCCCTTTTTGTAATGAATAAAACCCCATAAATATATATTCTGAAATTTATAAAAATCAAAAGGGAGCTCATGTCAATAGACATAAACAATTCACCAAAGTTTCTTGCAAATTGGTGAAATTTTTTTTGAGTTATTGTCCGAAAACTGGAAAATCACCCCTTTTTTAATGAATAAAACCCCAAAACTTGGAAACGGTAAATCCGAAATTTATATAAAACGAAAGGGAGCTCACATCAATAAATATGAACAATTCATCAAAGTTTCTTGGAAATTGGTGAAAGTGTTTTTGAGTAATTGTCCGAAAACTGGTAAATCCCCCCTTTTTTAATGAATAAAACCCCAAAACTCGGAAATGGTAAATCTGAAATTTATAAAAAACGAAGGGGAGCTCACGTCAATAGATATAAACAATGCACTAAAGTTTCATGCATATTGGTTAAAGCATTTTTGAATGAAAACATATACCATATGATTTTTTGTATTAAGACTATTCTCTGAATAAGCTGTAAGGCTTTTAGGGTTTATAACTCTCAGTATTTAAATTTTCAATTATCCAAAACATCTTCTCCAAATCATTCTGCAGTATGTCATATCATTTATTGTCTTTCAATTAGCAAGCAGTCTGTAACTCAGTGCTAAGTGTGCATCTTCCTGCTTTTAATATAACAAGCATTCTGAGAGCATTGCATGGCAATACATAGTCCCCTACCGGTTAAAAATTCATTGTACTGGACTAAAATGTAAACTTGATCTATAACTTGTCATGGTGTAAACTATATAAATGAACAGAGTTCCAATGTCCCCCACGTTGCACATATTTTATCTATCCAGGGGCAATAACTAAATAAAAAACACTATTTTTTGTTGTTCTTTAAAACAATTTATAAATAAAAAGCGTGTGCAGGGGACCCATTTTTTTTTATTGTACACTAAATATTTCAAACAGACCTTCAAGTTTTATAAAAAACTGGCAAGAATTTTACCTGTGAGAGCACAAACGAGGCCATTTTCCATAAAGTTTATATTTCCAAGGGGCATAACTCTTAAAAAAAGTCGATCAGCCACCATTAAAGAACTTGTCCGAGATATTGCTGATATTAACCTATAGTATAAGTTTATAAAAATCTGGCAATAATTGTACCTGTGAGAGCGCTAACAAGACCGGACAATGGACTGACACACGGACGGACGCCCGGTATCTTTATGTCCCCGGCAAAAACAACAAATAACAAAATAACAAATATCAAGTCAATATCTTTAAGCATGACCAAAAAAAGTGATTATCTAAGTGAATTTTTTAAAGTCCATAACTCTGCACAAAATCATCAGACCGGAACAAAATTTGCACTTGATCTGTAACTTGTCATGATAAAACTGTATACTAATTATCAAATCAGTGTCTTCAAACATAACGAAAAAAAAGTGAGGAAAAACTGATTATTTGAGTTAATTTTCCAAGTCCAAGGATCATAACTATGCACAAAATAATCAGACCAGAACAAAATTCGAACTTGATCTGTAACTTGTCATGATAAAACTATATACCAATTATCAAATCAATATCTTTAAGCATGATGGAAAACAGTGCAGAAAACTGATTATTTGAGTGAATTTTTTAAGTCCAAGGACCATAACTCTGCACAAAATTATCGGACCATAACAAAAGTCAAACTTGATCTGTAACTTGTCATTATAAAACAATACATCAAATATCAAATCAATATCTTCAAGCACGAAGAAAAAAGTGTGGAAAACTGATTTGCCGGACTGACGGACAGAGTGCAAACCTAAAGTCCCCTTCGACTTCGTTGGTAGGGGACTAAAAATAAGGAGATGTGGTATGATTAACAATGAGACATCTATCCACCAAAGTTCAAATGAAGTGGATATAAGCAATCATAGGCAATCATACAGCCTTCAACAAAGAGAAAAAACCATACTGTATAGTCGGCTATAAAAGACCGTGACATGAAAAATATGAAACAATTCAATTGAGAAAACTAAAGGCCTAATTTATAACAAAACAATTTACGAAAAACAAATATGACAACCACTGAACTACAGGCCCCTGACTTGGGACAGGCACTTAACGAATGTGGCAGGGTTAAACATGTTTTATACCAGTTTTAGTATTCCAGCTAGGATTTACAGCCAGAGAGGCAAAGTATTAAAATGAAGAGCATGTTAATGTATCTTTGATCATGTTTATTAAACAGAAATTTAAAAATTGAATAAATTAAAGTATTTTTGCTCGTTTTATAGGATTTTCAGAAATTCAGATTATAAAAAGCTTTTCTTAATAGTTAAAAAGATTTTTTGCTTTGAAATTAGTCATTTTCCTTCTAAAAACAAAAGTATTAAGAGCAAAACTTAAAGGGCAAAGGGTGCACAGAATTTTGAAAGGGGAGCTGTACCCCTCTATTTTTGAAATAACTTTGTCACTGACTTGGGTTTTCAACTGTGCATCAAGTTTATATTTAAATCTATTTCTTAAAATGCCAAATAAAAACATGGCTAATTTGTCTACATGTAACATGTGTTAATAGTTATTTTCTTAATTCTTACAAAGGTATTTGCTTACCTGTTAATGCAGATAAATTATCCACAGGATTCTCAGTAAATAGAGCTTGTCTTATTATATAACCTTGAACAGGGGCAATAACTGCACATGGACCTCCATCAAATTGTACTAATGCTGTGGGCTCATCTTCACTAAATACAAATCCTGAAAGTAAACTAGAGTAAAGGAATCTAAATTCACATACATATTATATAATCTGTGCTTTTCCTTTTATGTCATGTATATAATCAGTGGTAAACCTTGAAAGTTATTTTTTGCATAACTCAAATTCAATGGCATTTATTTGAAATGGCATATATCTTATCTGAATTACTTTATTCAAAAGCAGATTACCTGGAGTTCAAATGTTGTAATTCTTTAATCATGTTAACTCTGAGTGTGTTTTAACTGACCTGAAAACAGCCAGAAATAAAAGCAAGAAACAAAATCCTAAAAGAACTTTTCAATGCATGTAGATACATCATGTACATAGATGTTTTAAAAAAGGCACTGGCTATGATTACCCACAAAAAGTAACAAGAAATAATTATTGTTACTTCCAAGACTAATTGCTGAAAAGTATTTACGGACAGGGACCCGTTTACATACAGAAACTGCATGGAAAAATTATGTGGGTTTTTACTGTTACCTGCAAACCTGATAATAAATTGTTCAAATAAGGCCTTCGAAAATAGTGGAATTAATTACTTTTGGAGTGTCAAGAACTCGTTGGAAGTACTTGATAAATTGCATGCATATATTGGTGATTTTGAATCTGTTCAAAGTTTTGATTTTTCTACCCTATATACCACATTGCCTCACATTCTCATTAAGAAAAAATTCACACACCTAATTAAATGGGCATTTAAAAAGTCAGAATGTGAATATATATGTTCAAACTCTTTTAGGTCATTTTTTAGTAGCAATAAACAAAAAAACTATGTCAATTGGACATGCTTTGATACTATATATGCCCTTGAATTTTTTCTAGATAACATTTTTGTTCGCTTCAGAGATTCCGTATATCGTCAGGTTATCGGAATTCCAATGGGGACTAACTGTGCACCACTTATTGCGGACCTTTTTTTGTATTGCTATGAGTTACAATTTATGACAAAAATCAGTAAAGACCCATCGAAACAACATCTGATACACAAATTTAATAATACTTTTAGATATTTGGATGATATTTTGGCTCTCAATAATGACGACTTCAGTATGTATACTAAAGAAATTTATCCTGTTGAACTTACTTTAAATAAAGCTAATACTAACAATGACCACTGCCCTTTCCTCGATCTTGATATCTATATCATTAAGGGAAAGCTTAATACTAAAATATATGATAAAAGAGATGATTTTTCATTTCCTATCGTTAATTATCCATTTTTAGATGGTGACGTTCCCTTGTCACCATCTTACGGTGTTTATATATCTCAACTTGTACGATTCGCTCGTGTATGTAACAATGTTTTAGATTTTAACGAGAGAAATTTATGTATTACTGAAAAATTATTACACCAGGGTTTTCGATATCACAAACTAGTCAAAACATTTACTAAATTTTATCATCGGTATAAGGACATCATTCGTAAATATAGCTCAACATGCAGACTTCTTATACGTTCAGGTATTTCACATCCAATTTTTTATGGAAATATTCTTTATAAAGCACAAAAATGTCAGTATTCACCTCTGAAACTTACAAAACCTTTAAATAGACTTATTAAGAAGGGATATAGTTACGATACTGTTGTCAGGTCATTAAAGATTGCATATTTTGGCGTTAATATTGATTCACTTATAGGGTCTTTGCATCGGCACTAAACACATTTATTTAAAAACCAGTTGTTGGCATGACACGGGTTATGTTCTTCTCATATATGTTATGATGGTATGATACTAAACCCCTAACGGGAAGGATTGTGCCTGATATTCATATGATGAAGACATAATCTTTCAATCAGTTTAATTGAAGTCTGGAGCTGGCATGTCAGTTAACTGCTAGTAGTCTGTTGTTATTTATGTATTATTGTCATTTTGTTTATTTTCTTTGGTTACATCTTCTGACATCAGACTCGGACTTCTCTTGAACTGAATTTTAATGTGCCTATTGTTATGCGTTTACTTTTCTACATTGGCTAGAGGTATTAGGGGAGGGTTGAGATCTCATAAACATGTTTAACCCCGCCGCATTTTTGCGCCTGTCCCAAGTCAGGAGCCTCTAGCCTTTGTTAGTCTTGTATTATTTTTAATTTTAGTTTCTTGTGTACAATTTGGAGTTTAGTATGGCGTTCATTATCACTGAACTAGTATATATATTTGTTTAGGGGCCAGCTGAAGGACGCCTCCGGGTGCGGGAATTTCTCGCTGCATTGAAGACCTGTTGGTGGCCTTCTGCTGTTGTCTGTTCTGTGGTCGGGTTGTTGTCTCTTTGACACATTCCCCATTTCCATTCTCAATTTTATAAAATATAATATATCCAGGCAAGCACTGATCTTAAAAAAGTTTGATTAGCAAACAATCTGTGAAATAAATTTAAACAATTAATTACATGATTAAATTTCCAAATATATCGACCAGTATGATGTTCACTTTGCCATAGGGGTCAATTAAAACAACTCACTTTTCTTAAGTATAGATATAAATGAGCAAGATGTCCAATTTGTGGCCAGTGAAAAGATTAAATCCTTTAAAGGTTATAATGATATAAACTTCAACTGCTCAAAGATGCAAATTTTGTGCAATTATATAGAAGAAGTTCTTGTACGGTGTAGAAGGATTGTAGAACAGAACTGTTTAGTGTGAGGTATAGACTGGCATATAATGCCATATATGGATCTTTAACTTGTGATAGGTGTCTAATGTTATATCACCTGAACTGTGTTGGTCTCAAAATGCTACCTAAGGTTACATACTGAATGTGCAGGAAGTGACACCAAAGTAAATAGCTAAAAGAAATCTAAATATGGATAAATTTGCTTTCAATTTATCATTGCTATGTTCAATAAATAATTTTCTTTTCATATACATTGATATACATGTAGATTTGTTCAAATATGTAATACAATGTGTACAGGGCAGTGTCACGAAGACAGTACAAAGTATTAAGATGCTACACACAAAGAAGACATAATTTGCAAATTTTATGTAAAATTTTGCATGTAACAATATGCAAGCAAGGATTTATAACTAACTTCCTTGTTGCAGGTAACAATAAATTATATTATTGTTACCTGCAATTTCCATATGAAATCTGGTCCCTGTCAAGAAATACATATTGGCAATTAGTCTGGGAAGTAACAATAATTATTTCTTATTGTTACTTTTTGAAGGTAATCATAGCCAGTACCTTTAAAAAAAGATGGACACTGTGCAGTTAGGCTTTATTGAAAGGTCCTGTTTCAGCACCAGCTAAATATGTTTGAGCACACAGTGACATCATATGGACATGCCAGGTTTTTACCAAAAAAATTAAAGGCAAATTCTAAGGACTCATCATTTTTGGGCCATGGCGTGTCCAACAGTGAAAAGAAGAAATTTTATTGCTATATAATTTATTATTTCAGTCTTTATTAACACAATATCCCATAGCTATATAGTGGCAGGACAATAAAATAAATCAATTAAAAAACAACAGGTAAAGCTTGAGTATTTGGATTACATTCGAACGTCTAAATCTAGTTTCACTTTTGTTTTTGTTGATCACACTCTGAAACTGAAACATTAAATACCCTGTGTCCATCTTTTAAACACTTCATCTTTAATATCTGTTCCCCAGATAATGGTTTTTAATGTCATCAGAGTGTCTTCGTCGAGTTTTCCTGATGTGGTAGCCATGGTAATTATTATTTTCTGAAACTTTCATGAAAATAAATCTGGCAAAATTTATGCTGAAAACTTGGCATCCATATTGTTGACATCAACGTCACTAAGATGCTTTATTAAAGTGCTTTCGTAAAATTACACATTTTAAAGCGCATTAGAGATGTAAGTTTTCGGTGTTCTCTTTAGTTTTCTTTCATAAAGGGAAAGTAACGAATGGTCTGAATGGTCTGATTTGTGGATTAGGCCACGATGGAACAACAGAAGAAATTCAAAAGTGGTAAAAGTAGAAGGGAAACAGCGGTAAATAAATCAGTTCTGTTTTAAACAACAAATCCCCTTCTTTTCATTGTACTCTAGACATGTATACTGTTCTTTCAGCCTATTGCTACATCGTCAGAATTTGTAAAAAAAAAGCTTTAGATTTTAAGGTTCATCATAACAAATGGACAAATATGGCTGTATTTACATGTCAAAAACTACTCTTAGTACAGACTTACCTGTTCAGTTGGAAAAGTTTTAATGCCTGGTTTCCACTAGATATATAAAAATTAATTGCATTTTGTGTTTCAGAAAGATAAAATCTCTTTTGGATTTTGATGGGCATTTTTTTCCTTCATGCAGAAGGTGTAAAAATTAACTCAGTTGTGATACAACTTTGAGATGCTCCCTCTCAGGTAAAAACTGTATTGTATTGTATTGATTGTCCTTGATTGACATGGACAACAGGTATCTACACAACTATAGGTGAGTTAAAGGGTTTAACTGAGTGGATATTATCAAAGTAATTCAGGTGTTTGTTTATTTTTACACCTTCTGCAGAAAGGAAAAAAAATGCCCATCAAAAACCAAAAAAGATTATATCTTTCTGAAACACAAAATGCATTTGACTTTTATATATTAAGTGGATGCCAGGCCTTAAAACTTTTCCAACTGGACAGGTAAGTCTGTACTCAGAGTAGTTTTTGACATGTAAATGCAGCCATATTTGTCCGTTTGTTATGATGAACCTTACCTTAAGGTTCATCAGAAGGAAAAAATTATATGGATGTTTACACCACAAACTTTACTTGAGTACAGATAAACCTGTGTACCTGGAAAAGTTTTAAAGCATGCAAGGACGTATAACTAACAGCTAATATACGTCCTTGAGGCATGGTAGGAACTAAGTAAGTAATATTTGAATGCATTTTATGTTTCAGAAAATTGAACACTTACCTGGAATTTGAGATTCCTTTTTTTAAGCCTGCAGAAGGTGATAAAATAAACAAAACAAATGAGATTTATTTGAAATGGTCCACTCATTTACACAGTTTAAATCACCTATTGTTGTGTAGATATCTATTGTCTTTCTAAAACATTTTTCCAAACTTAAAGTTTATTTTGGCAACTTCTGTAGGAACGGGAAAAAAAAGGAACATAAAATGCATTTAAAATTTAATTATCTAGTTCCTGCTATGCCTTAAAACTTTTCTATGTGAATAGGTTTGTCTGTACTCAGAGTAAAATTTGTGAAGTAAATACAGCCATATTACAGTCAGGGGTACTACTTGTACAAGTTATTTTTATTTACTTGAATTAGTAAATAATAATACAGAAGTGTCCGATAATTCCGCCCGTCCGGTTAACCCGCCCACTCCCGTTTCTTCCCTAATTGTCACTTCTGTGAATATTTCGTCTGCTTTTTTATTCATAGGAACTCTACTTTTCATCATGATCATCACTGCATGTCAAATTTTAAAGAAAAATCCTTTATTACGAAAATATCTAGTGATATATATATTACAGTTCCTAAAGCTAACGATAATCATGTTATTACTTACAAAACTCATTTCTGACTTGAATTTTTTTTTTGGATTATCTGGAATCTCTTTATAAGAGGTATATTAATAAATAGATCACCTTTTGCTTTCATAAATTTGTGATTAATGGGCCCTCCATACATCTTTACTGCGCATGGGGGGATTTACCGGACATACACATTTCCGATAAAAACACAGATGACCCACTTGTTTTGTTGATTTTAAAATTTATTTCAGACATTTTTGGGGAAATGAGATAAACTACTCAAAGTTGATTAGTCAGTGAATCGATTTATATTAAATTTGATACAATTTATATATAATTAAGCAGAAATACATATGATTAAATCCTTATGTGGGCGGATTTACCGGACTGCATCGTTATATTCTTATATAAGTAAATTTGTAAGATACTTATACAAGTGTATTTTATTTTCTTGTATAGATAAATTATTTTAATGGCTTAGTTATGTCCCTTAGATATTTAGATTTGTTTACTTATACAAGTAAAAAAGTCATATTATCTTCTTTTCTTGAATATCTGATTATCTCAGGACTTCTTTGCTCTAATAGAATTTTTAATTGTCTGCCCTTTGCAGATGTCTTTACTTATCATTTAAGTGTAATTTCATGGACAATGAAAATCTCAGTTGTCTGCTATCTTCAAAACACTGCTCATTTACAAGCCTCCAAGGGGCAATTTTTGAAGGCCTTGCACAATTATTTAAGATCTACGGCAATTAGTTTCTTTGTTGAATTAATGAGATGAAACATTGAACTCTAATAAAAAATTATGAGCTAACCAGAGAAAAATTGTTGAAGGCATGTTTTTACATTCCAAAACTTGAGAATTTTAGGGATTGTAAAAAAAAATTACTTATACAAGTAAATTTTTTGAGTAAAATTAAGGTGAGATTATTCAAACCTTATAAGAAAATATGAATATAACAAATTTACTTGTATAAGTATATCATTATTTACTTCTTCAAGGAAATAAAAAAAACTTGTACAAGTAGTACCCCTGACTGTATTAGCCAAAAGGTTATGATTAACCTTAATGTCTATCTGGCCCCAATTTAAAAAAAATATTCAAAAGGGATAAAAATAACATATATCTGAATTGTAATTCATAAATATTTATAAATTTTATGAATAATAACAAATTTGGACGATCAAAAATTGTGTCTATAACTCGTATTCAGAGAAATAATTTTCATTAGAGAAGCTGCGGAACCGTAGCTCATAGGTCCTTACGATATTTTTTTACAATTTGTGGTCGTCAAATTGTCAAAAAATATCATAAGGACATGAGCTACGGTTCCACAGCTATCATTAGAGGAGACATTTATTCTAATATTTTTTTAGACACTGGCTACAATTACCTGCAAAGAGTAACAATAAGAAATATTTATTGTTACATGTACTTCCAAGACTAATCATTTTGCTAATTGCCTAAAAGTATTTCCGGACATAGACCCGATATCATACGAAAATTGCAGGTAACAATTATATAATTTTTTATTGTTACCTGCAGTTACTGACAGACAGGCACTGATCTAAAAAAAGTTTGATTTACAAACAATCTGTGAAAAAAATTAAAACAATTACATGATTAAACTACCAGATGTATTGACCAATATGACTTTCACTTTTGCCTTAGGGGGTTCACTATTCCTAAGTATATAGATATGATTGAGCAAGATGTCCAATTTGTGGTTGGTGATACATTTTTAAGTTTCTATCCTTTCAAGATTTTAATGACAAACTTCGACGGTTGCAAGATGCAAATTGTGTGCAGTAACATGTATATAGAAAAAGTTCTTCTAAAAACAATATCTAGATATCCATGAAGAATAATATAGCAGAATGGAACTATTTAGCATGCGGTATAGATGTGCATCTGTATATATGGATTCTTAGTTTGCGACAGGTGTCTGTTGTGGTTTCACCTGAAATGTGTTGGCCTAAAAACATACTGGATGTGCAAGAAGTGCCACAAAAATAAATGGCTAAAAGAATTCTAATTATGTATAAATGTGCTGTCAATTTATCATTGCTATGTTTAATAAATAATTTTCTATTCATATAAATTTGTTCAAATATGTAAAACAACGTATATGGGACAAGGACAAGAAGACAGTATAAAGTATCCCGATGCTACACTCAAAGTCTTTTTTGGCAAATTGTTGTTAAATTTTGCAGATGCGTGTAACAATAACTGCAGGTATTAATGAAAAAGGATATTATTGTTACCTGCAATTCCGTATAAAAATCGGGCCCCTGTCCGGAAATACATTTCAGCAATTAGTCTCCTAAGTAACAATAATTATTTCTTCTTGTTACTTTTTGCGGGTAATCGTAGCCAACTGGTGCATTTTTTTAGATATTTATATTAAGATTTATATCGAAATATATATACAGTCAGGGCCCCTGCTGCATCTGTTTAATTAAACCCAAACATGACCGAAGTATATTTGTGAAATAGATTGCCACAATTATAAACTATAATGCCCAACCAGACATTTTTACCAATCGATAGTTGGTAAAAAAAGTGAAATGACCGTTTTATGAAAATGCCTTGAATAACAAAAAGTGGCAAACCTATGATATTTGACCGTCTGAGGCTGAGAGCAGCCGGACTTTTTATATAAATTTCGGTCAAGTCCGGAATATATGACCGTTTTGAAAGCCATGGTCAGGGTTACGACTTAAACAAGTGATTTCATTATCACCTATTTCAGTGATTTGATAAATTCAGTAATCACCTGTTTAAGTGATTTTGGTGCTTCCTTTGATCTTCAAATGCTAATTTCATTGATTTTCCATATTTTGACAAACTTCTCTATAATTTTCCTACATAGATCAATTATCCCATTTTCTTTGTATATTACTTTCACCAGTGCGCTTGGGCAGTAAGTTAGTGTGCTAAAGCTTTTAAAAGTACCCTTGGGAATTTTTCTGTAATCAAATAATCATTAACTACTCTTACTATCAGAAAAGGTCAACAATATTAGGTAACCTGATTGGTTTTCTTTAGAGTTAGAATGATCTACTTCAAGGTTATGTCCTGATCTACAAATTATTCCAGTTTTTGCATATTTTAAATAAACTGTAAAAACTGACAGGCTTATCAAGCAAAAGACAATTTCTGCATGTACATAGTTTTTTAATGGAATTCTTGTCTTTTTACCAATAAAAAAATCAACCTTGTTGGAAAAATATCAAGAAAATGTTATAAACACTTATTGAAGTGATTACATTATAACTTCTCAATTTACTTGTTTCAGTGATTTTAAAAAGTCTGTGTCTATTTTTGTGAAAAAGTTTAATATTTCACAGTCAAAATCACTTGAAGAAGTGATTCTGAAATCACTTGTTTAAGTAGTACCCCTGACTGACATAATTTATTTAATGTAAAATATTTATATTCAAATCAATTTATCACTGGGACCACTATATTTGGTGTATGGACTGATTGAAAGGTGTACATGTCATGTCTGTCTGGCATGGTTCATTTGACCATGACCACATTTTCTAAGATAATGTTAAGTTTATTTGGTACTTGTAGTAAACCTTCATATTACAGACTTTCAACACTAATTCAATGATAAGTAAAACAGGCAAGACATTTCAGGGTGTGCACTCTTGTTTTATAAGGTATACAACTTTGATGTGTTAAAATTGAATTAAATATATATAAAATAATACATTATATCTCATATTTTCTGACATTTAATAGAATAATTAGCAATTCTTTCAAACTTAATTTACATTTGTATAGAAAGCAGTTAAAATCTGTGAAGAAAAGTGTTTAAAATTTTCTTAAAATCATCAAATATTAAAAAATTTTATTATTCAGGTTCAAGGAACAAATGATAGTTCTATTGTTAGTAAGTGTTCCATGGCAGCGGCTAGTTACTTTGATGATCCATTCTTAAAAGAGTTTGTTTCCAAGACAGCAAAGAGGTCTCCATTAATTAACAGGTAAATGTTTATTATATTAGAAAAGAAAGGATATATGGGGTATCAATGCATGACACAAAAATCAGTATATGCACAGCAAAAAACACAAAAAGCAAAGGAACAGTGCTTTTATTGGTATTCTTCATCTCAAAGTCACAGTGAGGCCTTCAACATAGAGCTAACAACCTCTTACCGCACTGTAAGTTTAAGATGAACTCTTGAACACTTATAAAAGCCAGTTACTTTAAATTTACAGTAATTTAGGTTTGTTGGGTTGCTATTTAATTAATCTATTCTTCACATACCCTTTTGTATTGCCACGATGAAGTAGAAAAGTGAGACTTAAGCTTCGTCAACAGTGTATTAGTCTATGATTATTTCAGTTTATGGGGAATCACTAGTGTTCGGTCAAGGATATTATGTATATGCAGTTGGTTTAGCATTAGCAAATCTCATATCTATGGAGATTATTTGGCCTTGCCCCTCAGTCATGGTCTATTGACCTTGAAACTTTTGTTTAGTTTACATGTATTAGTTTGTAATGAGGTCAGAATAAGGGGAACCACTTATGATAAGTCAATGGTACAAATGTATTATGTATGCAGTTTTATAAGCAGTACCATTTCTCATTTCCATGGAGGTTAATTTTCGCTCTGCACCTTCAGTCATGGTTCATTGGCTTTGAATGTTTTGCATAGTTTACATGTTGAAATATTGCCATTTTAAATTTCAACATTTGCATTATACTATCACAATTACATAAAGGCGAGACATATCTCTGTGTAAACAGTTTATTATTCATAGTTATTTCAAATTTAAAAAAGTAACTTTTCATGAGTTGTCTCCCTCTAGGTTTGACACAAATAACAATCACTTCAACTAGTCAGATTGTGTAATGGTTTGTCTCGCTCTAGGTTTGACACAAATAACAATCACTTCTACTAGTCAGATTGTGTAATGGTTTGTCTCGCTCTAGGTTTGACACAAATAAAAATCACTTCAACTAGTCAGATTGTGTAATGGTTTGTCTCCCTCTAGGTTTGACACAAATAACAATCACTTCAACTAGTCAGATTGTGTAATGGTTTGTCTCCCTCTAGGTTTGACACAAATAACAATAACTTCAACTAGTCAGATTGTGTAATGGTTTGTCACCCTCTAGGTTTTACACTAATAACAATCACTTCAACTAGTCAGATTGTGTAATGGTTTGTCTCCCTCTAGGTTTGACACAAATAACAATCACTTCAACTAGTCAGATTGTGTAATGGTTTGTCTCACTCTAGGTTTGACACGTAATGGTTTGTCATCCTCTAGGTTTGACACAAATAACAATCAATTCAACTAGTCAGATTGTGTAATGGTTTGTCTCGCTCTAGGTTTGACACAAATAACAATCACTTCAACTAGTCAGATTGTGTAATGGTTTGTCTCCCTCTAGGTTTTACACTAATAACAATCACTTCAACTAGTCAGATTGTGTAATGGTTTGTCATCCTCTAGGTTTGACACAAATAACAATCACTTCAACTAGTCAGATTGTGTAATGGTTTGCCACCCTCTAGGTTTAACACAAATAACAATCACTTCAACTAGTCAGATTGTGTAATGGTTTGTCACCCTCTAGGTTTGACACAAATAACAATCACTTCAACTAGTCAGATTTTGTAATGGTTTCATTAATTCAAACAATTATGTACTCAATTCATAAAGTAGCCATAATGACATAACTATAGCACTCCTATTTGAAGGCCAAGCGTCAGTATAAAATTGTGAAGTTTTTATTCTCTAATTTTCATGCTTTTTTCACATTTCTTGATCGGTGAAAGAAAAATATTTCTCATCTCTAGAGAAAACTTTGTTCTCGGCAAATGATTGGTAAAAATTTTAATTATGACGTCAAATTTTCTTGGTTTCTTTTAAATTTCCATAATTAGATATTAAAATTTAACTGTCTTGAGAGGAGAAATATCGTAACGCACTTGATGCAGTGGTGGAATCTATATTTCATCAATTTTGTATACAACAACAAAATTGGAATAGAACCTCAAAATTGAAAAATATTATTTTCACTTTCAAAAAACAACTTAAAAGTTTAAAATTAATGTGTAAGTTATAAATAAACAAATATTTACAGATAATTAATATACTTAGTTACTGTAGATATACATGAACACAAAATGTTATGGTCATAAGTATGTAAGAAATGTAGTTATACATGTACTGTAAAAAAAGAATGCATTATCCTGTTTCATGAACAAAAACTGATTCAATGAAGTCTGTCAGAACGATGATGACCTGATTTGACAAATTCTGATAATGTCAGAGATTTTGTTATGTTCAAACATGTCTGAATTTTGACAATTTACTTATCAATCTATCCTCAGGCGGACAAGTAAACTTTAAGGACAATAGAATGAACTATGACTCATTTATTAGTAATATTACTGAAATATTAGAATACAATTGTATAGTTCTATTCTACCCAACCAAAAGTATCTTTTTCCTAATCATATAGTGATTCATTCCTCTAACCACTGTATACTATTGCTCACTGATGCAATTTACATGAAAAATGAGACAAAGTTTGAATTCCTTAAACAAAAGAACACTAAAATGCAAACAAGTGTTTAGACAAAACCTATATTAATAGATGTAGATATAAGAAGATGTGGTATGAATGCCAATGAGACAACTCTCCATCCAAGTCAAAATTTATAAAAGTAAACCATTATAGGTCAAAGTACGGTCTTCAACACGAAGCCTTGGCTCACACCGAACAGTAAGCTATAAAGGGCCCCAAAAATTACTAGTGTAAAACCATTCAAACGGGAAAACCAACGGTCTAATCTATATAAGAAACGAGAAACACTTATGAACCACATCAACAAACGACAACTACTGAACATCAGATACACATTTCTCATGTATGCAGCATATTGATAAAGACTGAAGCATTTTCGAGCCCATTTAGCAACAATCTAGCTATTCTAACTTTTTTATGTTTCATTTATGCAAAGATCCTAGTTTGTCGTATTTTTGACAATGTAGGTATTATCTTTCTACTTGCTAAAGTCCTGAAAATAAGTTTGTTTACAGTATCTTTGACATGTGTTTGATAATGACAATATGGTACATATTATATTTATATGACAGTTGTGAAATTATTCAATGGAAAACTATAAATAATGGATGTACATTCCAACATGATGACATTGACTTTCATTATTCACCATTTATCATTCAAGCTGTTTTTGAAAGAAAGTCATAAATGATATCAGTTTCAATGTATGGTTTATATTTTATAGCTCAATCTTTTTTTATTTAATTTTTTTGAGAAAATTGTTATTTCCTTGTGGAATGAGTGTTTGGAAAGCTTTTCTAGTACCATACGTTTCTGATTTGTTTCTGATTTGTATAATATATCAGATACTAATGTATATATCATTTTATTCATACCCTCAATCTATTTCTAATTCTAAAAGTTAGAGAAAATTGTTAGTTACAAGTGACACAGTACCTTTTAAGAAAATCTTTGAATCTGCTGTAGAATGAGGGTTCTGTTATTGACTTTACCCATCAAGACTTCTTTCACACTGTCCTGTTATTGACTTTACCCATCAAGACTGCTTTCACACTGTCCTGTTATTGACTTTACCTATCAAGACTGCTTTCACACTGTCCTGTTATTGACTTTACCTATCAAGACTGCTTTCACACTGTCCTGTTATTGACTCACTCATCAAGACTGCTTTCACACTGTCCTGTTATTGACTTTACCCATCAAGCCTGCTTTTACACTGTCCTGTTATTGACTTTACTCATCAAGACTGCTTTCACACTGTCCTGTTATTGACTTTACCCATCAAGCCTGCTTTTACACTGTCCTGTTATTGACTTTACCCATCAAGACTGCTTTTACACTGTCCTGTTATTGACTTACCCATCAAGACTGCTTTCACACGGTTCTGTTATTGACTTTACCCATCAAGACTGCTTTCACACTGTCCTGTTATTGACTTTACCCATCAAGACTGCTTTTACACTGTCCTGTTATTGACTTACCCATCAAGACTGCTTTCACACTGTCCTATTATTGACTTTACCTATCAAGACTGCTTTCACACTGTCCAGTTAATGACTGTACCTATCTAGAATGCTTTCACACTATAGGTGTGATAAATAAATATCCAATTTTCTGTTCACTTGGTCCAGAAACTACATAAGTGATAGAGAAACTGTAGTTAGCAAAAATGATCAGCAGAACACAACCTTCTTGTAAGTTAACATGGCCATAAACTCCAGTCAACTCCCTATAGGAGTTATTGCCCTTGAAGGATGAATTTGATATATTATTGTCTATTTTATGCCCCTGCCACAGCGGAGGGGGCATTGAGTTTTACCCTTGTCCGTACGTAGGTCCCAAAGCTGGTTTCCGTTCTCTAACTTTAGTTTGCCTCCACCAAATGATATGAAACTTATACACAATGCTTATTACCACAAAACACAGATCGAGTTTGAAATTGGGTGGCGTCACTTGTACCATTCTTGAGTTATGCCCCTTTATAAACATAAAAATGGCTGAATTTTTCATTTCCGTTCTCTAACTTTTGTTTGCCTCAACCAAAAGTTATGAAACTTATACACAATGCCTTTTACCACATAATACAGATAAAGATTGAAATTGGGTGGCCTCACTCCTACCGTTCGTGAGTTTTTTTTTTTTAATTAATCAGTAAGACCAGATCTTTTAAAAATCAAATGACTGAAATCATTAGTTGTTTCATTATAGGAGTTATTCCCCTTGATATATGATTTATATCATTTTTTGCTTTTTTTGCATGAAACAGTCTGAAATATGAAATATTCTTATTGCATTAGTATCAAGCAAAAGTAATAAATATCATTACAAATTTAATGAATGACCAATTCAAATGAACATGAAACTGGGTATCATAAGGAGTATGTTCATAAATCAGAAGTATCATTTTAGAGATAACTGTATTGTATTTGAAGCTTTACGGACGTCCATCCTTAGTTTTACTGTCGCAAATTTAGTTTGCCTGGCTACGCATAGCGGAGACAGGTAAACGGTTATTTGCGACAGTAAAACTACCGATGGACGTCTGCAAAGCTTCAAATACAATACAGTTATCTCTATTCTAATGCAAAATAAACAAATCATTCAATTTTAGTCATTATTGTCTCGCTTGACGGAGTCAAAAAAGGAGACATAGGTATGCTGTTTCCGGCGGCGTCAACAATGTATTAGTTTGTGATTAGGTCTAGTTTGCGGTGAACCACAAGTTGTAGGTCAATCATATTTGGTATACAGTTGTATTAGTATTGGCACATCTCATTTCCTTGGAGATTATTTGGTCCTGCCCCCTCAGTCATGGTCTATTGACTTTGAAACTTTTGCTTAATATACATGTATTAGTTTGTGATTAGGTCAGTTTATGGGGAACCATTAGTGGTAGGTCAATGATATTTGGTATACAGTTGTATTAGCATTGGCACATCTCATTTCCATGGAGATTATTTGGCCCTGCCCCCTCAGTCATGGTCTATTGACTTTAAAACTTTTGCTTATTTTACATGTATTAGTTTGTGATTAGGTCAGTTTATGAGGAACCATTAGTGGTAGTTCAATGATATTTGGTATGCAGTTGTATAAGCATTGGCATATCTCATTTCCATGGGAATTATTTGGCCCTGCTCCCTCAGTCATGGTCTATTGACAAACTTTTGCTTAGTTTTCATGTATTAGTTTGTGATTAGGTCAGTTTAAGGGGGACCATTAGTGGTAGGCCCATGTTAATTGGTATTCAGTTGTATAAGCATTAGCACATCTCATTTCAATGGAAAATATTTGGCCCCATCCCCTCAGTCATGGCCTATTGACTTTGAAATTTTTGCTTAGTTTACATGTATTAGTTTGTGATAAGATCAGTTTAAGATGAATTGCTAATGTTAAGTCAATGATATTTGGTATGCAAATTTATTGGCATTTGTAAGTATCGTTTCCATGATGATTAAATAGCTCCACCGGTTCATTGACTTTGAAACTTTTGCATAGTTTACAAGTTAATGTTTGTGTTTAGGTTTGTTTAAAGGGAACAACTTAAAATAAGTCAATGATATTTGGTATGCAGTTGTATTAGCATTGGCGAATCTCATTTACATGGAGATGGTTTAGCCATGTACCTCAGTCATGGTTCATTGACTTTGAATATTAGCCTAACTTGTTAAGTATTGCCATTTTAATTTCAACATTTGCATAATCAAAATTACAAAAAAGCGAGACATATCTCTGTGATAACAGTTTATTACAGTGTAAATTTTCATTAAACGAAAATTCCGCGAAATGATGTTATCTTCTTTGGCGCCTAAACTAGGTGACGTCATAAGTATGCTTTCAGCATCAAACGTAAGCACCAGGCGTTTTCTGGCTTCTCTTTCCGCTTCAGAATGTAATAAAATTTGATAAAAAGAAGATTTCTCGGTGCGTAATGTGAGTTTTTTTGCTTATTATTGGAGAAATTTCATGTCAATACATTCCGGAATTCAAAATGTCGGTTTCCTTAGTTACAGACAGGGAGATAGAGAATTTTACACTTATTGTCATCAAATCAGAACCATTGATACAAAATAATTGCATTAGAATTGTGATCATTGTTGTTCCAAGATGGTAATATACCAGCATCATGAACCTATATAATATTTTTATACCTCGCACAATAAAGTTGCATAGGGTATAATGTTTTTGACCTGTCAGCCCTGTTCTTGTCAGCGCAAATACATGTACTTGGTGATTCAAGATGGTTAGATGGTCTAAGTAGGAACTTTGTGGCCTCTATAATTCCAAACACAGGGTGTTTGTAACAGATTTTTTACTAGTAAGAAGAAAGTGACCACTGCTCCTTTATTAAACAAGATTTTAAATCTTTCAGGGGATACTACATCAGAGCAACAGCCATAGACTTTTTACTGAAGAAATTTCTATCATCAGATTCTAAAAAGAAACAGGTATAATAGATATAATTATATGGAGAGTTGTCTCATTGGCACTCATACCACATCTTCTTATATCTATAAGAATGTAAGAATCCATAATTTCCATACCAGTAAGATGAAATCTGGTACTTATAGTTTGATTTGGTAGCTGTGAGCACCCTGTGTTATTTATTTATTCCTGTGACTATGTTTCATTTATACCAATTTATCAAATAATACCAATTAATATTTTTGTTAAGTGCCTTTTTTACCTTTTTTTTGGTACTGTGCATTGTTCTATCTACATGATCTATAAACCAATGTACCAATGAGTACTATTGAAAGAGGAATGTTGTGTGATTAAAAAACATGTTTACTGTAAAGTGGTTTATTTTTTAGTCAAGTTTTAATTTCATTATTTCAAAAGCCAAATCAGTTAGTGTGAGTTTATTTTCATTTTTTTCTTGTGTCATATCCTGATCCACCTGGAAGAAATTTATTATCTTGCCTGTGATTAAAGTTGCAGAACGGGAGACATAGGGATTACAATCTGGCTGTGACACCTACGTAAATTATTTTTTATAAAAGCTTTATATGTCAGAAGGTAGAAGACCTGCATGCTTCATGCCTTGTATGCAGATGTCGTATGTTACAAATTTTCCGTCTGTCATATGTCCATTGTCCTTTATCTTATTTTCATGGGTCAGCAACTGTTTTTGAAAAAAAAAATTTTGTCATGTGAAATACTCACTATCTTATTAGTAATAGACTAAATATATTTGGTATATGGGATCCTTGCACCCTCATGTTTGTCTGACAGGGTTCACCTAACCTTGACATTATTTCATGGATCAGTGATCAAGGTTAAGTGTTTGTGGTAAAGTCTGTATTTAAGTTGGAAAAAAAAAATTAAAAACCAGAGAACAATTGAAGGTCTTTACACCCTAAATAGACATATCTAGACAGGAAAATATTAAATTTTGGTTACAAATGTTAATTCTGGTGTCAGATAATAGCTTCATTTATGCTTATTCCAATAATATTATATTTTATTATAGTTTTGAGAAAAATAAGGGAGATAAGAAGGTACTTCCAGTTTACAAAATGCTACTTTCGGTTAGATTTGAACCTTACTTCACACTGATTCCAAAAATATAAAGTTCTAGTAAATTGTACATGAAGTAAGGCAAACATGGCTACTTCCGGTTTACAAAAGGTCACTTCCGGTTGACCTTTATCAAGGTCATATATATCTGTAACCCAATGTAAAAGACCCTTTGACGTTATCTTGAACCAATAAGAAGTTAGAGCAAAGGTCAAAATCTAGAACGTCAAATCAAACTTTGACCTTGACCCCAATTTCAAGGTCATTTAACAATGGCCTCAAATTAAAAGACTCTAGGACTCTACTATATATTGTTAATAAGTTATATTACCATACAGCTAATATTAGATATGAGAGGGGAGAAAACTCCAATTAAAAGTCTATGTACCCTTTCATCAAAATTTATGTGTTACGACATATCGCAACTAACAATCCTGTAGAAATATTTTGTCGATATCTTATACAATTTCTGAAAATAAGTGATAACAAGCCAAAAACAAAATTTAGAATATGACTTTGACCTTGACCTCATTTTCTTTTTAATGGATCAAGGACCTCAAATCAAAAGACCCTGGTCTCTATCACTTATGGTTTGCCAGTTACAAATACATTTCACTTATATCAAATACAGAAGGGGAAATAACTCTCATGTGGAAATCTCTATACCGCTTCGGTCAAAATTAAACAGAACATCCTGAGGATATAACGAGCAATTTGAAAAAAATAAATTTGTAGGTTCCTTTTAGGGTTGCTAAGTATTAGAAATAACAAGAAAAACAGTGTTCGGGGAGATAACTAGGTTAAACAGGGTCAGTTTCAAAAGTGTATAAACTGTTCGATATCATATACCAAATATCTAAGCGACATCTTTCGAAGCAACCAAATAGCAGAAGAAAAAAATTAGGCGGGAAAAAAAAAAAAAAAAATCTGAACAAAAGCAAAAGGTCTTTCCACGTAAAAAAGTGAAAGACCTAATAATAATAATAATAATCAGAACAAAATCAAAAGGTCTTTCCACAGAAAAGTGGAAAGAACTAATTAGAAGGACTTGAATGCTGCTCAGTACACAAGTCAGTTAAATAATGGGAAACTCCTTCACCACAAAGTTAATTTGGACCTCCAACTCAAAAAGTAAAAAAAAAAAAAAACAAGTCACATTTGGCTTAAATGAATGCTGACTTAAACCCTTCTGTGTATTTGAATTCAGATTTTAGCATTAGGTGCAGGGTTTGATTCAGATTTGTGTATTTTTTTTCAGATTTTATCATTAGGTGCAGGATTTGATTTAGATTTGTGTATTTTTCTCATTTTTTTTTCATTTAATAGGTACAGTGTTTGATTCAGATTTATGTATTTTTTGAGATTTTATTGTGTTTTTTATCTTCAGATTTTATCATTTGGTGAAGGGTCTGACTTAGATTTATGTATTTTTTCCAGATTTTATATATTAGGTGCCTTGTTTGATTCAGATTTGTGTTTTTTTTTGCAGATTTTAGCATTAGGTCCCTGGTTTGATTCAGATTTGTTTATTTTTTTCAGATTTTATCATTAGGTGCAGGTTTTGATTCAGCTTACTTCAGATTAAAATCTCAAGGACTTATTGATAATGTTATGTTCTGTGAGGTAAGTGTTTAAGGACTTATTGATAATGTAATGTTCTCTGAGGTAAGTTTCAAAGGACTTATTGATAATGTTATGTTCTCTGAGGTAAGTGTTAAATTACTTATTGATAATGTAATGTCCTGTGAGGTAAGTGTTTAAGGACTTATTGATTTGATTTTTGATATTTGGTGTTTTTACGCCACTTTTAATCACCACTTTTGGGCTATTTCGTGGCGGTCAGTTTTTATTGGTGGAGGAAGCCGGAGTGCCCAGAGAAAACCACCGACCTTCGATAGGAAAACTGACAATCCTAGTCAATTAAGATTGGAGTCCAGTGCACCCGCACAAGGTTCAGTTGTCAACAATTGAATTATAAAACATTTAATTGTTATGTATACAAAAATACTGTGGTCTATTTTAAAGTTATATTTTTTGCTCACCTGCCATCACTTGGCATCTGTCGTCAGTCGATTCATTATTGGAGTAATTGCCCTTTGACAATTTTTACCATTTTTTGTGTTTTTTGCCTATATTTTGGCCTATTATCATGATTATCTTGAAAACTTTAACAGACAGAAGAAACTTTAAGAAGCCAAAATGATCAGTAAGACAAGATCAGCTAAGATATAGATGAATTTGTCAGTTGTAGTCTCAAAGGAGTTATTGCCCTTAAGTGAAGATTTTAACACTTTATTGTGGTTTGGCTAAATACTATAGAAATAAAAGAGAAATTGTAAACAGAAAAAATGATTACCAATACAGGTTCAACAAAAGAGATATTTTAGTCACGAATAAAATTCTAGTCTAAAATGTTGAAAAGTGTCCATTTATGAAGATGCACATAAACCTAGTGCTGTTTAAAGCCTCTAATTGTTGTATCTTATATTAGTAAAAAGAGAAGTTATTTTGATTTATGGTATCAAAAACATTGATGAGACAGCAACCCAACAAATTAAAAATTTATATAACTTGTAGTCTTTATTTATTATTTATATTTTACCCAACCATTCTCAAAATTTGGGACAGCCAAAGATCAGTATGATAATTCTGAGAAAGACTTGAAAGAAGAACTTTTTTAACACTGTACATTCAAAATGAAAGTAAAGAACATTTTTTAATCCCACTTTTTGTCAATTTTATATGAAATATTAAATTGGCAATACTGCCTAAAGTTAAAGTTTATCACACTCTACTTGCATACAAAACTATTTAGCAACCCCTATTGCCACCGGGTTACCTTACATGGCATCAGTTGATTTAACTTTTCCTGTACTATTGTGTTGCATATTTAAACAGCAAAGGACTTATGTTGTGTAGGACTTAAATTTATTTTATAGATAGATTTTTGTGATGTAGTAAAGAGGAAACACACTGTGATCAGTACAAACTCTACCTTGAACAGTTTGATACCAGGATATTTCACACAGTCAGAGAAAGAAGATCCCTTGATTGGTAATTTTCTATTCCTATGAGTTATCTCCCATCTGTGTAAAGAGTTGTGTCCTCTTATAATATAAAGTTTTCTTTTTGACATGTTTTGATAAGAAGAAGTGATGGAAAATAAGGGTAATGTTTTATCAATTCTTGACACAAAATCTCTTCATACACTTGACAAAAAGCAAAGGAACATCACTTTTATTATACCTCACTTAATTTTTGCGTTGGGTATAATGTTTTTGACCAGTCTGTCTGTCCATCAGTCCTGTTCTTGTCATCGCAACTCTTCTGAAACCAATCAACAGAATTTCATGCAACTTTATAGATAATAAGGACATATTATGTAGATGTGCATATCAACAGGAAATCAGGTTTCAATTTTTTTCTAGGAGTGATGCCCCTTTGCACTTATTGGCCTCAATATACTACTGCAACAGATTGTCATCGCAACTCCTCTGAAACTACACAACATAATTTCATGAAACTTTGTAGATAATAAGGACAGACTATGTAGATGTGAAAATGGATAGGAAATTATGATTCAATTTTATGCCCCCACCGTCGCGGAGGGGGCATTAAGTTTTACCCTTGTCCGTCTGTACATACATCCGTCCGTCCGTACGTCCCAAAGTTGGTTTCCGTTCTCTAACTTAAGTTTGCATCAACCAAATTTTATGAAACTTATACACAATGCTTATTACCACAAAACACTAATCAAGTTTGAAATTGGGTGCCGTCACGATAACAGTTCTTGAGTTATACCCCTTTATAAACATGAAAATTGCTGAGTTTTTTCGTTTCCATTCTCTAACTTTAGTTTGCCTCAACCAAATGTTATGAAACTCATACACAATGCTTATTTCCACATAATACAGATCAAGATCTAAATTGGGTGGCGTCATTTTTACTGTTCTTTAGTTATGCCCCTTTATAAATATAAAAATTGCTGAATATTTTGTTTCAGTTCTCTAACTTTAGTTTGCCTCAAACAAATGTTATGAAATTTATACACAATGCTTATTACCACATAATACAGATCAAGTACAAAGTTGGGTGGCGTCACTTTTACTGTTCTTGTGTTATGCCTCTTTATAAACATAAAAATTGTTGAATTTTTCATTTCTGTTCTCTAACTTTATTTTTCTAGGAGTAATGCCCCTTTGAACTTATTGGCCGCAATATACTACAGTCTGTCAGTCCTGTTCTTGTCATCACAACTCCTCTGAAACCAGGCAACTGAATTTCATGAAACTTTGTAGTTAATAAGGACATACTATGTAGATGTGCATTTCGACAGGAAATTATGATTCAATTTTTTTCTAGGAGTTATGCCCCTTTTAACTTATTGGCCTCATATACTTCAGTCCCTCAGTCCTGTTCTTGTCATCGCAACTTTTCTGAAACCACACAAACAGAATTTCATGAAACTTTGTAGATAATAAGGACATACTATGTAGACGTGCATATCAACAGGAAATTATGATTCATTTTTGTCTCGCCTTGACAGAGTCAAAAAAATAGACATAGGTATGCTGTTTCTGGCTTCATAGGCGGCGTCAACAATGTATTAGTTTGTGATTAGGTCTAGTTCATGGTGAACCACTAGTGGTAGGTCAGTGATATTTGGTATGCAGTTGTATTAGCATTGCCACATCTCATTACCATGGAGATTATTTGGCCCTGCGCCCTCATTCATGGTCTATTGACTTTGAAACGTTTGCTTAGTTTTCATGCAGTAGTTTGTGATTAGGTCAGTTTAAGGGGAACTGTTAGTGGTAGGTCAATGATAATTGGTATGCAGTTGTATAAGCATTAGCACATCTCATTTCCATGGAGAATATTTGGTCCTTACCCCTCAGTCATGGTCTATTGACTTTGAAACTTTTATTGAACTTATTGGCCTCAATATACTACAGTCCGTCAGTCCTGTTCTTGTCATCGCAACTCCTCTGAAACAACACAACAGAATTTCATGAAACTTTGTAGATAATAAGGACATACTATGTAGACGTGCATTTCGACAGGAAATTATGATTCAATTTTATATGCCCGTTTACGGGACGTATTATGGTAAACCGTTGACCGTCTGTCTGTCCGTCCGTCGTCAACATGTCGGACATTAATTCAAAAATGCTATAACCCAATATGCATGAAACTTTGGTGAATTGTTTATATTTATTGAAGTGAGCTCCCTTTTGTTTTTTATAAATTTCGGATTTACTGTTTCTGAGTTTTGGGGTTTTATTCCTTAAAAAAGGGGGGATTTTCAAGTTTTCGGACAATAACTCAAAAACAGTTTCACCAATTTGCATGAAACTTTTGTGAATTGTTTATATCTATTGACGTGAGCTCCCTTTTGTTTTTTATAAATTTTAGATTTACTGTTTCTGAGTTTTGGGGTTTTATTCATTAAAAAAGAGGGGATTTTCCAGTTTTCGGATAATAACTCAAAAACAATTTCAACAATTTGCAAGAAACTTTGATGAATTGTTTATTTCTATCGACATGAGCTCCTTTTTGATTTTTATAAATTTTAGACTATACATTTCCGATTTATGGGGTTTTATTCATTACAAAAAGGGGGATTTTCCAGTTTTCAGACAATAACTCAAAAATGCTTTCAGCATTTTTTATGAAACTTTGGTCAATTGTTTATATCTATTTTTGTAAGCTCCCTTTTGATTTTTATAAATTTTCGAATTTAGGTTTCTGAGTTATAAGATTTCATTTGTTTATAGTCTGACAACAGATTTACTAAGCATTGGGCAACAGCACAGTGTATTGCACAACAGCAAGAAATCTTTAATTGAATATAAATTCAATTCATATAACCAATTTCAAGTTCTTTGACTACATTTATTCAGAAACCTATAATATGTCAAATATTTAATTACAATCCAAATTCAGACCTGTATCAAGCTTGAATATTGTGTTCATTTTTGCCCCAACTGTTCAGGGTTGGACCTCTGCGGGCGTATCCAGCTGCGCTCAGCAAAGCAGTTTATTTGTAGGAGTTATGCCCCTTTGCATTTATTGGCCTCAATATACTACTGCAACAGTTTGTCATCGCAACTCCTCTGAAACTACACAACAGAATTTCATGAAACTTTGTAGATTATAAGGACATAATATGTTAATGTGCACAGTGTTCTCCCCAGGATTTTTGGATAGCACCAGGGTAACGCGTGTGGACTTCTTGGTGAAATATTTCATGCAATCAGTTGTGTCTTGTCGCGTCGCTTAGCTCTAGTTAATATTCATCTGAATTTAAAGTAATTAAATCTTTTATAAAATCCAAAATCAATAAAAATAAAATATCATTAAAAGTGAACAAAAATGTTCTATCGGTGATAATCAAACATAGATACAGGCTTAATACTGCCCTGAAATCTAAATCTTTATTTGTCATGAACCATTTAAAAGGAATTCCTAAATCTATAAATTTATCTTTGGTCTATAGATCTATAAGTAACCATATTCAATGTCAACAACTAAGTCTCCCTAATTTCCCGCCTAAATGACAGGAAGTAGATATAAATAGATTTAACATGTGCTTTTGGATAAAATTTGCAAGAATTAGATTACTTCTGTTATTCATTGATTATGGATATTGATATCCAGTTTTAAGGTACAGTCATGCATTTTATTTATAAAATATAATAGATTGCAATTAATTGTAAATAAACTTGAATATTCTACGTGAACTAACTGGGTCATGTGATATGTACAGACAGATACTACAGTTTGAAACCCGACTATCATGCAATAACTATGTCATACTTAAAGATAATATTGTCCATGGTTTAATCAGAGACATATAATACTATATTATAAGAATTGGGAAATGTATAGTTGTCCATTATACGTAATTAGCCACCTTTATGATGTACACAAAATGTACCTATCGGGTCAAGACACTGTTTGTGTACAAAGTATTTACCGACTTGTCACAGGTCAGTGCTTGGGTGAAGAGGGAAGCCATAAAATAGTTATCTGTGATCATAAAGTTATGAACTCTTAATTAAAACACAAAAGAATCATGTTACAAGTGTTAATGACATCGATTAAATGCAATCAACAAGGTTAACCTCATAAGGTAAATCGATCACGTGGTGTAAACAATCTGTGTTGAACTGGTTTGAACTGGTCAAATTTCACCTGGAATTTTACACCGCACGGAAAAGATTTAACAAGTCGTTTAAAACTTTACCGATTTACGATTTTTTAACTGAAAATTTTAGCACCACGGAGAAAAATTATACATCGCGGTAAGAACGATACCACCGCGGTAAAAAATTATACATCGCGGGCCCGCGGTCCTTTAAGGGCCTGGGGAGAACACTGGTGCATATCCACAAGAAATTTTTATCAGTTGACTTTTGTTGGAGTTATGAGTTTTTGAACTTAGGAATCCGGTGAGATTTTGTTTACCCAGTGACAATGTGGGGGCGTGGGGTATTTGAGTGTGCTCACTAAGGTTCTTTAATTTAGGTTCTACATTTAAAAGTAAAAAGTTTTAAACTATATTTCTCATGTTATTTCTATTTTAAAAATGTCATGCAAATATATACATGAAACTTTGTCTCTGCAACTACTTGTTATGCATTCTTAATATATGACAGCAAGCATCGTCTGGTTATGCCTTCCTGAGTTAAATATTGTAAGTTCCTTCAATATTCTACTTCCTGCTTGCCAAACACTTATATCTTTAGTCAACATCATTGATTGAAGGTATAATTAATGAGCAATAGTTCTCAGTAGATCTTGTTATTATTATTTCCTGAATTCCAGAAATAAACACAGACAGATATAAGTTGCTTGGTGTGGATTTGACCCAGCATAATACATTGGAAGCCTTATTGAAAATATGTGGTATAGATTTTGATAATCCAACATTGCTGCTGTCAGAATGTGTGTTGACCTACATGACAAAAAGATGGTAAATATTATGTTGTCTGAATGTTGCTATCAGAATGTGTGTCGACCTACATGACAAAAAGATGGTAAATATTATGTTGTCTGATTGTTGCTATCATAATGTGTGTTGACCTACATGACAAAAAGATGGTAACTATTATGTTGTCTGATTGTTGCAATTATAATGTGTGTTGACCTACATGACAAAAAGATGGTAAATATTATGTTGTTGTCTGATTGTTGCTTTCAGAATGTGTGTTGACCTACATGACAAAAAGATGGTAACTATTATGTTGTCTGATTGTTGCAATCATAATGTGTGTTGACCTACATGACAAAAAGATGGTAAATATTATGTTGTTGTCTGATTGTTGCTTTCAGAATGTGTGTTGACCTACATGACAAAAAGATGGTAACTATTATGTTGTCTGATTGTTGCTATCATAATGTGTGTTGACCTACATGACAAAAAGATAGTCAATATTATGTTGTCTGATTGTTGCTATCAGAATGTGTGTTGACCTACATGACAAAAAGATGGTAACTATTATGTTGTCTGATTGTTGCTATCAGAATGTGTGTTGACACACATGACAAAAAGATGGTAAATATTATGTTTTTGTCTGATTGTTCATATCAAAATGTGTGTTGACCTACATGACAAAAAGATGGTAAATATTATGTTGTCTGATTGTTCATATCAAAATGAATGTGTGTTGACCTACATGACAAAAAGATGGTAAAAATATTTATGTTGTCTGATTGTTGCTATCAGAATGTGTGTTGACCTGACCTACTGACAAAAAGATGGTAAATATTTATGTTGTCTGATTGTTGCACTCACCATATCATTACAAATCCTCCTATAGAAATAAAAGATGTAAACGAAAGTCAGAACATTTTTATCAGCTTAAGTGACCTATGTGTATGTGCTGTGTTTTCAAGATTTATATAATTAAGAGTTCTGACCCATTTTGATACCCATATATTTAATCCATTGTTTATTGATCAATATTATTTCAAAATAAGTTTTTCTTTATTTCTATTCCAGTTCCTCAAATGTGATCCAGTGGGCATCTGAAACATTCTCCAACTCTATGTTTGTGTTATATGAACAGGTATAGTGATTTGATATATTAAACACCATAGTATTTTGTGTTATGCATTGATAGTCTTATATCATTTGTTTAAAATTCTTGTCTGCATTTTGAACAAATTGTGAGGCATTTCAAATGCTTTATTTCTTCACTTGTTTGATGTTTGGTACATACCTGCCAACCCTCCCATTTTTAACCTTGTATAGATTATAGCCAAAAATTTAAGAAATAAAGTATATTTATTAACTCTTATTGGTGTTTTGTAGATGAATACGTAAACAGGTCATAATTTTACTTGAAAATGTCGTTCACGCAAAATCTCCCTCTTTGAAGGTTTCAGAGGTTGGTAGGTATGGTTTGGTAGAATACAAAATTTTAAAACACACAAGGCAAGTTAGAAGTTAGAAACAAATTCTACAATATTTTATACTGTAGGCATGAAATTCTGCATCAATTGTTATAGTTGGACAAATGTTCTCAAAGAACTTTTAATAAATTACAAACTCACAGGAAATGTAAGAAGTTCCTGTTACAAAAATATAACTGTGTCATGATACAGCTGCTAAACAATAATAATTTATTAAAAAAAAATATAAGGAATTATGTACTATTGCTAATTTGTGTCAAGGGTATATACATTTGGTTAAGGCAAAATATATGGTTAAAAAAGTCCTCTAATATTTCGTTACCATTGGCTATTAATAGTTACTCCAATACTGACTTGTTAAAAATTGTATTTTGCAGCTGTTAATTTTTTTTTCAGATAAACCCAAATGATTCTTTTGGATTGTTTATGCAGAACCATTTCCGGACTATAGGTTCAGCTTTAAAATGTATTAATGCATTTCCAACCATGGATTCTCAGTTACAGAGATTTAAACAGTTGGTAAGTTAGAATGTAGTTATTAACCAGATGAAACATCTGTTTTATTTGATGCAAAGATAAATCTATTGTCATAAGGGTGAAATTTTACAATAACAAGAGGGTTTAAGGGTCAGCTATAATGGCTATTGCACTATAATTACACACAACATGGTTTATTTAAGGGTCAGATATAATAGCTATTGCCAATTATCTGTTTAGTGAAAAATCCTATTTAACCATAGAAAGAATAAAATGTTTACCTGGGGAAACAGTATGTACAGTTGTTTCATTGATTTGTAGACAATAGCTGTTTTTATTATCTGAAAAAAAAAAAAATGCTACCTAAACGCACAGCCTGAGAGATAAGGTCAGTTGCTGTGTTAAAAATGAACTGCAAGAAATGGTCATTATTAGTTGTGCACAATCAATTAACAGGGGTTTTTACCTTAATATGATTTAAACGGTACGCTGATCAATGATAAGTTTTTTTTGCAAATAGGTGACCTTTTCCTTTACTTTGAGAAATAGGTTATCAATATTTTTGTCTAAAAAACCATTGCAAAAAAAGTTCTTGTAAGTAATATGATAGTTTCAGTGTAATGATTTTGTCATTAGTTGATCTTTACTATGAGGAATATTTCAACTATACTTGTTGTTCATTTCTGACTGTCATGGTTACTTGGCCTCATCTTGTTTAGTACACAAATTAACAACATTTGAGTCATTGTGACCTTTATTTCATGTTTGAATGACTTTTTGTGCTAATTGTGGTGAAGTTTTTTCATGAAGAGCCAAGGATGATATAACATCAACATTTCCCTTAAAAATCTTTTATACAGTACAAAGCATTGCATAACATATTTCTCATATTGACTTTCATTTCACACATGAAAGACATTTATTTTAAATCTTTCACCACAATAATCATCATATTTTTAATACTCAATATTTAAGATTTAGGTTAACCTGAACTATTTTTCGCTTTAAAGTAACTTTACTAACTGTTATACATTTAATTCAGATTTCAGGATGTCTATCAGGTGGTGGACATCTGAAGAACACAATATCTAGTTTAGTTTTTGCAGGCTCCAACTGTCTGTTCAGCATTTTTGTTTTAAAAAAAAACCAGCTACTGACATTATAAGTGCAATTGTTCAAGTAAATAATTTATACAGATGGGTTGCATTTTTAAAAAGTTGATAGTATTCATGATTTTACTTTACAGGGTTGGGAGCAGTCAGAAGCAATGGATATGAACCAATTCTATTATAACTTAGTTTCTGAAGAAGAACGAAACCGAGTGGAATGGTTAGAACCATTTGATGAATATGAAGAATGGCACCTTAAATGTGCACATTACATGGTGTTGTGTGCTTACAATAAAACATGTGAATCTCTGTTGTCAGGTAAAGCAAGCACTATATTCACACACTACATAGTATTGTGTGCTTACAATAGAACATGTGAATCTTTGTTGTCAGGTAAAACAAGCACTATATTCACACACTACATAGTGTTGTGTGCTTACAATAGAACATGTGAATCTCTTGTCAGCTAAAACATACACCATATTTTAACACTACATGATGTTGTGTGCTAACAATAGAACAGGTGAATCTCTGTTAACAGGTAAAACAAACACTATATTTTCACACTACATAGTGTTGTGTGCTTACAATAAAAATTGTGAATCTCTGTTAACAGGTAAAACAAACACTATATTTTCACACTACATAGTGTTGTGTGCTTACAATAAAACATGTGAATCTCTGTTAACAGGTAAAACAAACACTATAATTACACACTACATAGTGTTGTGTGCTTACAATAGAACATGTGAATCTCTGTTAACAGGTAAAACAAACACTATATTTTCACACTACATAGTGTTGTGTGCTTACAATAAAACATATGAATCTCTGTTAACAGGTAAAACAAACACTATATTCACACACTACATAGTTTTGTGTGCTTACAATAGAACATGTGAATCTTTGTTGTCAGCAAAAACAGACACTATATTTACACACTACATAGTGTTGTGTGCTTACAATAGAACATGTGAATCTCTTGTCAGCAAAAACAGACACTGTATTTACACACTACATAGTGAAGTGTGCTTAAAATGTAAATTGTTAATCTTGAGCTATAGTATTAAGGTAAACTGATATCTTACATTTACACACTACATGTTGTGGTGTGTTAACAGTAAAAATTGCAACCATTGATTGTTAGATATTAATTTAACTCTAGATTAGCTTACCGTTGTTATGTATGTAATGTAGTTACTCTGAAGAATGTGAACCATGGCTGGTCAGGTTGAAATGATAATATGATATTCCCTTTTAATGACAATTTTTGTCAAATTTCTGTGCGCTTTTGACTGATATCTTGAAAAGTATGGTAGATCTACAGCAAGTGTAAACAGCAAAATTGAAAAGTATACAAATTGATATCGAATCATTATTTTACAGACATTTAATTTGTTGATGACTTATAATATAGGAAGGCCATTTGATTTGAAAGGATGGAAAAATCTGAGTATTTTTTTACCCTGATTTTGACATAGATATCAATATGGCGTACTTTTACCAGATAAGCGGCTCCTTGGAGCCTCTTTTGAATTTCGGCCGAAGAAAAGCTGAGAAAAAGGGAATCTTATGAAGATTATAAAATATAAGCTAACAGTTAATAAAACTATAAACTGGCCTAAATTATGAAAAATTTAAATTAGTATTCAGCAATTCATTACTTTTAATCAAATAATTCTGAAGGAATTAATCATTTTGTATTATAGGTTTTACAAAAGATGTCTCCCTATCTTCTAACGTCATTCCATCATGTGTGACAATAGAAGCACTAGCTAATTTGACCAGTATCTTGAGGATTGGTCATGCCAGTACAGTGGTCAATGGTGTTATAGTTACTGTAGCAGGATTTGGGGAGGAGTATGGTAAACATCAAAGGTTGTCATCAGTTATGATTACAGATGCAAAAACATTCAAATCAAAGTTATTAAATCTAGATGTAGATCTTGATAAAATTGAAAGTAAGTTAAACTCTATTTTGTCTATTGCTTTATGAAGACATAAAACTTAAGAAATATATGTAAGTAGAGTTTTAATGTCTACTATAATGGTATTGAAATGTGGAATCTTAATTGAAACTTCTAGCTTGAGGTTAGAAATAATGATACACTATAAAAATAAGGAGATGTGATATGATTTCCAATGAGACAACTATCCACCAGAGCACAAACGATGTTGAAGTCACTGTATATTTGATATCAAACCTTCTTTTGCCATTTAAGTTTTAACTATTTCCTATCTTACCTAATTTTGAAGAAATTTTTAACCTTCCAAAACATCTGCATTGAATTCTTAAATTAAATTTTTTTAAACCTCCAAGAATTGTCTTCTAAGATGGTTGTAAAGTATTTTGTAAAAGAGGAAAATTATTTTAAGGGTAAATATTTTGTTATTATAATGTTAATGATGAGATGTTCTGTCACGATTTAGGACCTTTTTAAGAATAGTTACAAACTACCCAAACTTTTATTTAATGAAAATTTCATCAAATGGTTTTCAAGATTTTTCTAAAAGAATTCCAGATAAATTTCATATGTGTATCTGGATACCATTTTGCATGTATCTAGAGGTATGAAGGTGGTCATTTCAGTATGCTGAAATTTGGTAAAATGCTGAAACAGGATAACACAACATTATTTAATGGGCAGAGGAAACTAGACAAGAATTTAGGACCTTGGAATTTTGATTAATTTAGCTCTGTTATATATTAAAATACTAAGCACTTATCAACTGAACAAAATTCAGACACATATCAAAGTAGTGATAGGTGGTAATAATTCATAAAGGAATAGTTTAGGTGGCTGTTTTGACCACTTTACCATGTAGATCTCTCCATGTGTTAACCTTTAATTGTAAATTTCCTTACACCTTTATCATTCTGCTTACAAAAAAAGTCAATACTACAGCTCTGTGACACAAAAAAGATATGTCTTGATAATATTTAGTTTCAATGAATTTATCAAATACATCCAACTTGTTGACATTGTAACACTAATGATCCTTGACAACAATTTAATTTCACTCACATGACAGATCTATATAGTAATACATTGTATTGTTTAATGTCAGCCCATTGACACAAAATCTATCTCCTTTATTTACCTTCTTCTGTGCAATACACAAAAAGTTTATTTCACTTGTCGCTGGTGTTTTAAGATATTTTTTTCCAGAAAACATGATAATCTATTCTTTGTATTAGGATGACAAAATGTGTATAGAATAAATAAATTTCTTTTGCAGTAGTAAGGCTTCGACATACACTGTGTCCACTAAAGGATGGATCAACAGTTCTTATTGGTGGAAGAATGTCACCTACTTATTGTTGTACACAAGTCATTCAGCTCCTACTTAATTGTCATGATTCAATAGGAAAATACACTGAAGGAACTGAGAAATCTCTACAAACAAAGGAAAACAACACAAATGGCACCCAAAATTGTTTTAGTAAAGGGTCACATACATCTACAGATTTGACACATGAAGATGTTTTAAATGGAGCAGCAAGAAAAACTGAAACAGGCAACTTGAATTATGAATTTGTTAATAGCAGAGACAGGAAAGGAAATCAGAATAAAGATGAATCTGAAAAACTGAACTGTGTGACACAAAATGAAACATTAATTCCGAACTCAGATTCCAGACATTCTGATAAAAATTGTGTAAACATTGAAAATATAAACTTAACTTCGCCATATCTCAATGCAAAATCTAATGAAACACACTCTAATAAAGAAATTTTAGATAGACAAAATTCATCAGATACCAAAATCAAGGAAAAACCAAAATGTTTATCAAATAGTTTAGACTTAGATAAGAGTGAACAGAACACTGATAGTAATAAAATAAATTCAAACTGTCATAAAAAAGACATTGTTATTTTGGAAACCATGAACTCTGATAATAAAAGTGATAATAAGGAGATTAAAAGCATTGAATCTGTGTCATTAACTTGTTCTGTGATAAAACAAACAGGATACATTCCAGTTCCTAGATGGCGCCACTCTGCAGTTGTCTGCCAAAAAGCTGGTATGTTTTTCAGTATTTTATTTAATGGATGCCAAAGATGTTAACTTTGTTGTTTGTCTTTTCAAAGTGAAAGTGTCAACTATTGAATTATAAAACATTTAATTGTTATGTATAAAAAAATACTGTGGTCTATTTTAAAGTTATATTTTTAGCTCACCTGCAATCACTTGGCATTTGTCATCAGTCGATTCCTTATTGGAGTAATTGCCCTTTGACGATTTTTACCGTTTTTTTGTGTTTCTTGCCTATATTTTTTCCTATTATCTTGAAAACTTTTAACAGACAGAAAGAAACTTTAAGAAGCCAAAATGATCAGTAAGACAAGATTAGCTAAAATATAGATGAATTTGTCAGTTGTATTCTCAAAGGAGTTATTGCCCTTAAATGACGATTTTAACACTTTATTGTGCTTTGGCTAAATACTATAGAAATAAAAGAGAAATTGTAAACAGAAAAAATGATTATCAATACAGGTTCAACAAAAGAGATATTTTAGTCACGAATAATATTCTAGTCTAAAATGTTGAAAAGTGTCCATTTATGAAGATGCACATAAACCTAGAGTGAGCAACTCATGCTGTTTAGAGCCTCTAGTTGTTGTAAGGTCCCATGTCCTTATTAACCAATTGAAAAAAAATATTAAAGGAGCACAAAAAATATATTGTGCAATGAATAAAGTATGTATTATTTAGAAAAATAACAAACTTAATAAATATTAATAAATCTTTAGCAACATCAATCTTTATCTTTTGTTAAATATTTTGAATTTTTAAACAGGTAAAGAAATGATATTTGTATATGGAGGTAGGAATGAGACACATCTGGCCTTGAACTGTGGATATTTGTTTGATCCAGATAATGGACAGTTGAGTCAAGTAAGAAATAGTCACATTAAGTTAAAAGACAAATGATAAATAAATGGAGAAGGGCAATGGAGCAGACACAAAATTATTAGAAAGTTATCTGTAATGTGATGTACTAGAAAATAACAGTATCCATAATAAAAATAATATATGTTTCCAAATATGTACTGGCTTTAGTTTAAAATGAAGAAAAGCCTTTTACTAAAAAAAAACTTAATACCATCAAATACAAGTAAAACATGTTGCATTTTCAGAAATAAGGATTCAGGAGTTATACCCCTGAGATATTGTTACCATAATATAAATTATTAAACACATTTACAAATGTATTGATTGTCTAATGAATTACTTACAATCATCAAATAAAAATATATTTTACGTTAAATTTTCAACATGATAGCTTCTATACTTTTCAATTCTCTTGAATGTGCATGTTAGATTTGAATTTCAATCAAGCTTTGTCACAAATCATAAAAAGTAGATTAATTGTTGTTCGTTTAATGTCCAGTGGTATGCAAATTCTGTATTATTTGAATAGTAAAAGCTGTCGTGTTGAAAATTTAACAGTATTTTCAAGATGAAATCCCTATACCTTTTAAATGTCCTAAATATGCATTAAATATTTGCCACTGGATGTTAAGCTTACAAGAATTAATTTACTTTTCAAGAGTTATTTTAAAAATGAAAAAAAGAAGATGTGGTATAATTGCAAATGAAACGACTCTCCACCAGAGACCAAATGACATGAGTTAGCAAGTTAGCAACTATAGTTAACTGTACTGCCTTCAACAATGAGCAAAACCCATACCGCATAGTAAGCTATAAAAGTCCCTGAAATGACAAAGGTAAAACTATTCAATTGAGAAAACTAACAGCATTGAACAGCTGGATTTAAGTACAAACAATAAACGAAAAACAACATGATATTAGCAAAAAACAACAACCACTAAATTACAGGCTCCCATCTGGCACAGGCGCATACAGAATGTGGGGGTTAAACATGTTTGCTGGCTCCAAACCCTACCATTAAAGTTTAACTCCCTAAAATTTAATTTTTTCATGGCTTTCACATTACTTTCATTATTTACCTTTCTCTTATGTGTTTTTATACGACCGCAAAAATTAAAAATTTTTTGGTCGTATATTGGTATGACGTTGGCGTCGTCGTCGTCGTCCGGCTTCGTCGTCGTCGTCGTCTGGCGTCGTCCGGCGTCGTCCGAAGACACATTGGTTTTCGCACTCTAACTTTAGTTTAAGTGAATGGATCTCCATGAAATTTTACCATAAGGTTCAATACCACGAAAGGAAGGTTGGGATTGATTTTGGGGGTTATGGTACCAACAGTTAAGGAAAAAGGGGCCAAAAATAAGCATTTTTGTAACTTCCAGACAATAACTTGTGTGTAAGCGTATGGATCTCTCTGACATTGTACCACAAGGTTGCATATCACAAAGGAAAGGCTGTAATTGATTTTGGGGGTAATTGCCTCAAAATTTTAGGAATTAGGGGCCAAAAAAGGGGCAAAAAACAAGCATTTTTCTAGTTTCATGACAATAATTTGTGTGTAAGTGTTTGGATATTTCTGAAATTGTACTACAAGGTTCCATATCACAAAGGGAAAGCTGGAATTGAGTTTGGGGGAAATTGCCCTAAACGTTTAGGAATTGGGGGCCAAAAAGGGGCCAAAAATAAGCATTTTTCTAGTTTCCAGACAATAACTTGTGTTCAAGTGTATGGATCTCTCTGAAATTGTACTGCAAGGTACCATACCACAAAGGGAAGGCTGGGATTGAGTTTGGGGGTGATGAATCATAAGGGGGTTCAAAAAATTTGGGGGGGGATTTTTTTTTTTCTTTTTTTTTCTTTTTTTCCTTTTTTTTTTCTTTTAAAATTTTCCATTTTAAGTTGGTTATTTCTGATTAATATTTAAAAGCAAATAATAATGATATGGTAGGAGATACACACCAAACAGGATGTGTAAATTATTATCTAATAAGTATTGTGCAATAGCAAGAAATTTTCAATTGCACAGTATTGCACAATAGCAAGAAATCTTCAATTGCACAGTATTGCGCAATAGCAAGAAATCTTCAATTGCACAGTATTGCGCAATAGCAAGAAATATCCAATAGCACAATATTGCGCAATAGCAAGAAATTGTCAATTGTACAGTATTGCGCAATAGCAAGAAATATTCAATTGCACAGTATTGTGCAAAAGAAGATACTTCGTATAAATTGCTTATTTCTTGATCAATTTCAATGGGGTTTTATTCTTGAATTCTTGGGGTTCTTTAATATGCTGAATCTAACCGTGTATTAAGTTTTTGGATTTTGGGCCCCGTTTTTAAATTGGTCCACATTGAGGTCCAAAGGGTCCAAAATTTAACTTTGTTTGATTTCATCAAAAATTGAATTATTGGGGTTCTTTGATATGCTGAATCTAACCGTGTATTTAGATTCTTAATTTTTGGTTCCGTTTTCAAATTGGTCTACATTAAGGTCCAAAGGGTCCAAAATTAAACTTAGTTTGATTTTAACAAAAATTGAATTTTTAGGGTTCTTTGATATGCTGAATCTAAACATGTATTTAGATTTTTGATTATGGGCCCAGTTTTTAAGTTGGTCCAAATCAGGGTCCAAAATTAAACTTTGTTTGATTTCAACAAAAATTGAATATATGGGGTTCTTTGATATGCTGAATCTAACCATGTATTTAGATTTTTGATTTTTGGGCCCCGTTATCAACTTTGTCCACATTGAGGTCAAAAGGGTCCAAAATTTAACTTTGTTTGATTTCATCAAAAATTGAATTATTGGGGTTCTTTGATATGCCGAATCTAACCGTGTATTTATATTCTTAATTTTTGGTTCCGTTTTCAAATTGGTCTACATTAAGGTCCAAAGGGTCCAAAATTAAACTTAGTTTGATTTTAACAAAAATTGAATTTTTAGGGTTCTTTGATATGCTGAATCTAAACATGTATTTAGATTTTTGATTATGGGCCCAGTTTTCAAGTTGGTCCAAATCGGGGTCCAAAATTAAACTTTGTTTGATTTCATCAAAAATTGAATTCTTGGGGTTCTTTGATATGCTTAATCTAACCATGTATTTAGATTTTGGATATTGGACCATAAAAGGTGAATGTCCAATTTAAAATTTTTAAGTTCTTAGACCACATTCATTCTGTGTCAGAAACCTATGCTGTGTCAAATATTTAATCACAATCCAAATTCAGAGCTGTATCAAGCTTGAATGTTGTGTCCATACTTGCCCCAACTGTTCAGGGTTCGACCTCTGCGGTCGTATCAAGCTGCGCCCTGCGGAGCATTTTATTGTAACTTCCAGACATAACTTGTGTGTTAGTGTATGGATCTCTCTGACATTGTACCACAAGGTTCCATATCACAAAGGGAATGCTGGGATTGATTTTGGGGGTAATTGCCTCAAAATATTAGGAATTAGGGGCCAAAAAAGGGGCAAAAAACAAGCATTTTTCTAGTTTCATGACAATAACTTGTGTGAAAGTGTATGAATCTTTCTGAAATTGTACTACAAGGTTCCATATCACAAAGGAGAAGCTGGAATTGAGTTTGGGGGTAATTGCCCTAAACGTTTAGGAATAAGGGGCCAAAAATAAGCATTTTTCTAGTTTCCAGACAATAACTTGTGTTCAAGTGTATGGATCTCTCTGAAATTGTACTGCAAGGTATCATACCACAAAGGGAAGGCTGGGATTGAGTTTGGGGGTGATGAATCATAAGGGGGTTCAAAAAATTTGGGGGGGGGGGGGGGGGGGGGAGATTTTTATTTTTTTTTCCTTTTTTTTTTCTTTTAAAATTTTCCATTTTAAGTTGGTTATTTCTGATTTATATTTAAAAACAAATAATAATGATATGGTAGGAGATACACACCAAACAGGATGTGTAAATTATTATATAATAAGTATTGTGCAATAGCAAGAAATTTTCAATTGCACAGTATTGCACAATAGCAAGAAATCTTCAATTGCACAGTATTGCGCAATAGCAAGAAATCTTCAATTGCACAGTATTGCGCAATAGCAAGAAATATCCAATAGCACAATATTGCGCAATAGCAAGAAATTGTCAATTGTACAGTATTGCGCAATAGCAAGAAATATTTAATTGCACAGTATTGTGCAAAAGAAGATACTTCGTATAAATTGCTTATTTCTTGACCAATTTCAATGGGGTTTTATTCTTGAATTCTTGGGGTTCTTTAATATATGCTGAATCTAACCGTGTATTAAGTTTTTGGATTTTGGGCCCCGTTTTTAAATTGGTCCACATTGAGGTCCAAAGGGTCCAAAATTAAACTTTGTTTGATTTCATCAAAAATTGAATTATTGGGGTTCTTTGATATGCCATATCTAACGGTGTATTTAGATTCTTAATTTTTGGTTCCGTTTTCAAATTGGTCTACATTAAGGTCCAAAGGGTCCAAAATTAAACTAAGTTTGATTTTAACAAAAATTGAATTCTTAGGGTTCTTTGATATGCTGAATCTAAACATGTATTTAGATTTTTCATTATGGGCCCAGTTTTTAAGTTGGTCCAAATCTGGGTCCAAAATTAAACTTTGTTTGATTTAAACAAAAATTGAATATATGGGGTTCTTTGATATGCTGAATCTAACCATGTATTTAGATTTTTGATTTTTGGGCCCCGTTATCAACTTTGTCCACATTGAGGTCAAAAGGGTCCAAAATTAAACTTTGTTTGATTTCATCAAAAATTGAATTCTTGGGGTTCTTTGATATGCTGAATCTAACCATGTATTTAGATTTTGGATATTGGACCATAATAGGTGAATGTCCAATTTAAAAATTTTAAGTTCTTAGACCACATTCATTCTGTGTCAGAAACCTATGCTGTGTCAAATATTTAATCACAATCCAAATTCAGAGCTGTATCAAGCATGAATGTTGTGTCCATACTTGACCCAACTGTTCAGGGTTCGACCTCTGCGGTCGTATCAAGCTGCGCCCTGCAGAGCATTTTATTTCTCCACTAAAATTGGACCTTTATAGGAAGAATGTAGGAGATACATGTATGGGGTATATATCAATTAGACCCAACCACACAAAACAAAAAGATATCTAGAAGTCAACATGTATGGTTCTTTTTATAAAGAATTCATATTTCATTCAAATTAGGCTTAAAACATAGCTATTAGAACCAATTTTTGATTCTAATTGCTCATTTTTTTTCATGAAAAGAATAGGCCAATTCTTTTAAAAGTATATAATAATAGTGATAAGGAGACCTTCTACAGTGTATTAGGATTTCTTATTTTAAAATAATCATGTGGTTTATATTTCAGCCATAATGTCTTATAAATTATCCTTGAACCAGATCATAATGTACATTTTTATTTTGTTCTCAAAAAAATACATTTTAGCTTATTTGAACCAACAAACTAAGCTCAAATTTTCCATGGATAGTATTATATACAGTCTCTTATCTCCAATCATATGGGCCAAAGACAATTCATGTTTCTGACTTGTACTAGATTTTCACATTTTACTCTTTATGCAAGAAAAAATCTTTCAATTTAATGAATTATAATCTATAACCATGTACTTACATAATGCCAACATTACATCTTATGTTGCAAGTTTCTATTTCAAGGTTTGTAGCTCCGTATCAGAATCAGGATACAGACAATCACATACAGCATCTATCTGGAATAATCAGGTTATCATTGCTGGGGGTCTTGACCTTCAGCTTCGACCTGTAAACAGTATTTATATGTTGGATGTAGAAAATCTGGTGTGGAGGAGGTTTGATGTTACTGGAGAGTTGTTACCAAGGTATTTAAAGCTACATATCTATTTATATTTGTTTATATTACCGTTTGCTATACTTTTTGGTTAAAGGAGGGAGGTTAAATATATTAAGGTTCATCAGATGCATTGACAAATATTGTCTTGTTTACATCACAAAATTTAATCTGAGTACACACAAACGTACACATGGAAATAGTTTAAGTCAACCAGGACCTAGATGAATAAATTAGATGCAATTTATGTTTCATTGCTAGTACAAAGAAGGGTACAATCATAACACTTTAACATGTTCTTGCACTAAATATGTATTGAATATTTGCTTCAAAACATTGAACAACCATCTGTCCAGCAATATTACATTTTGATTGTCTTAACTTGTGTCAAATGCTGTTAATAAGGATCACATCAAATATATCACTTTTCAAGATACCACAGGGGTGTTGTCAACACCTAATTTTATTTTTTCTGATTAATTCAATAAGTACTGATGAATCATCAGTGATACTTGGTTTAAGACATGACAATAGCATCAGCATATTAGTTAGATAAAGCCCTAACGTGAGGGTACCCAAATTGCACCTATTTTGACAGTTTTTTCACCTACGTTTTTTTATGATCCAGACAAAAGTTTCCATTCTGTGTTTATTTTGTAGACGTATCCTTATTTACTATACAGTTACACCAATTTAATTTTGAATCCATATTGAATCATAGAAAAATGGGTTCGAACCGACCTCCAAACGATCCATGATTCTGTAATGAGGAGTACCCAAATTGCATCCATGTTTAAATTCACATCAATAAAAATCGAAAAACAGATGTTTTGCTTTATTTCTTCAAATATTTTGAACAATTTGACATAATTGCATGCTTACTATTCATTTTTATATGCCCGTTTACGGGACGTATTATGGTATACCGTTGTCCGTCCGTCCGTCTGTCCGTCCGTCTGTCCGTCGTCAACATGTCGGACATTAACTCAAAAATGCTTTCACCAATTTGCATAAAACTTTGGTGAATTGTTTATATCTATTGACTTGAGCTCCCTTTCATTTTTTATAAAATTTAGATTTTACGTTTCCGAGTTATGGAGTTTTATTCATTAAAAAAAGGGTGATTTTCCAGTTTTCGGACAATAAGTCAAGAATGCTTTCACCAACTTGCAAGAAATTGTGGTGAATTGTTTATATCTATTGACATGAGCTCCCTTTCGAGTTTTATAAATTTTAGATTTTACGATTCCGAGTTACAGGGGTTTATTCATAAAAAAAGGGGGATTTTCCAGTTTTCTGACAAAAACTCAAAAATGCTTTCAGCAATACTTATGAAACTTTGGTGAATTGTTTGTATGTATTGATGTAAGCTCCCTTTAGAATTTTATAAATTTTACATTTTACATTTCTGAGTTATGGGGTTTTATTCTTTAAAAAAAGGGGTGATTTTCCAGTTTTCGGACAATAACTCAAAAATGCTGTCACCAATTCTCATGAAACTTTTGTGAATTGTTTATATCTATTGGTGTAAAGCTCCCTTTTTATACGACCGCAAAAAAATTTTGTGGTCGTATATTGGTATGACGTTGGCGTCGTCGTCGTCGTCGTCGTCGTCGTCGTCCGAATACATATTGGTTTTCGCACTCTAACTTTAGTTTAAGTGAATGGATCTTTTTGAAATTTTACCATAAGGTTAAATACCACAAAAGGAAGGTTGGGATTGATTTTGGGGGTTATGGTACCAACAGTTAAGGAATTAGGGGCCAAAAAGGGGCCAAAAATGAGCATTTTCTAGTTTCCAGACAATAACTGTGGAACGGTGTATGGATCTCTCTGAAATTATACTACAAGTTTCCATACCACAAAGGGATGGTTAGGATTTGCTTTGGGGGGTTATGGCTCAAACCGTTTAGGAATTAGGGGCAAAAAAGGGGGAAAAACAAGGTTGTCCTGGTTAATGGACAAATACTTTAGTACAAAACATAATTTAAAGCAGTGTAAGGGAGATAAATCAAATACATCATTGAAATTATCTCCCTTACACTGCTTTTAAATTATGTATAAAGTAATGGTTAATGAACAATAAAGATAATCTAAAACAGTGTAAGGGAGGTAATCCAAATACAACGTTTTGGTTACTTCCCTTACACTGCTTTTAAATTATGTTTAAAGAAATGCATATTTATAAAGGAAGACCAGTAAAAATATCTGCAAATGTTTTCATCTTTTTTTTTTACAAAAAAATCCATATGAAAGATTTGACACTATATTTTTATACGACCGCAAAAAAATTTTGTGGTCGTATATTGGTATGACGTTGGCGTCGTCGTCGTCGTCGTCGTCCGGCGTCGTCGTCCGAATACACAATGGTTTTCGCACTCTAACTTTAGTTTAAGTGAATGGATCTTTATGAAATTTTACCATAAGGTTCAATACCACAATAGGAAGGTGGGGATTGATTTTGGGGGTTATGGTACCAACAGTTAAATAATTAGGGGCCAAAAAGGGGCCGAAAATAAGCATTTTTGTAACTTCCAGACATAACTTGTGTGTTATTGTATGGATCTCTTTGACATTGTACTACAAGATTCCATATCACAAAGGGTCGATGATGGGATTGATTTTGGGGTTAATTTCCTCGAAATTTTAGGAATAAGGGGCCAAAAGGGGGCAAAAAACAAGCATTTTTCTAGTTTCATGACAATAACTTGTGTGTAAGTGTATGGATCTTTCTGAAATTTTGCTACAAGGTTCCATTTCGCAAAGGGAAAGCTGGAATTGAGTTTTGTGGTAATTGCCCAAAACGTTTAGTAATAAGGGGCCTAAAAAGGGGTGAAAAATAAGCATTTTTTAGTTTCTAGACAATAACTTGTGTTCAAGTGTATGGATCTCTCTAAAATTGTATTACAAGGTACCATACCACAAAGGCAAGGCTGTTATTGAGCTTGGTTTGGGGGGGGAAGGGGGGGGTGATGAATCATAGGGGGGGGGGGGGTCAAAAAAGGGGTAATTATTTTTTTTCGTTTAAGGAATAAGGGGAAAAAAGGTTAAAAAACTAGGGTTTCCATTTTAATAGACAAATAATTGAGTAAAGAACATTATTTAAAAGCAGTGTAAGGTTGGTAATTCAAACTCATTTAAATATCTCACCTGCACTATGTTTGAATTATGTAAATTGGAAATTTGCCAATTATTTTAGTATAATAAACTTCATTGGAAATTTGCCAATATAAAATTTTGCTGATGAAGGTTTTTTGTTTACCTTTAGTCTGACTATGATGTCATTTTCTATTTTAATAGCCTTATGATGTAGTTAAATTTTTTTTAATACTTTTATGATGTTTTTTAATGCGCTTTTATGGTTGCAAATTTATTGTTTTAATATAATAAACTCCATTGGAAATTTACCAATAGTTTGTTTTTTTTTAGCTATGACTATGATGTCATTTTCTATTTAATTTTAAGGTTACAAATTAATTTCAGTTTTAAATATTATTGTAAAATGTTTGCCCAAAACATTTATTAATAAGTGGCCAAAAAAGGGGGCAAAAATAAGCATTTTTTTTAGTTTCCAGACATTAACTTGTGTTCAAGTGTATGGATTTCTCTGAAATTGTACTTAAAGGTACCATACCACAAAGGGAAGTGGGTCAAAAAATTTTTGGGGGGGGGGGATTTTTTTTCCTTTTTTTTTTCTTTAAAATTTTCCATTTTAAGTTGGTTAATTCTGATCACAAAGAGAAAGTTGGAATTGAGTTTGGGGGATAATTGCTCAAATGTTTAGGAATAAGGGGCTAAAAAAGGGGTTAAAAATAAGCATATTTTTTTAGTTTCCAACAATTAATTGTGTTTAAGTAATTGGATCTCTGTGAAATTGTACTGCAAGGTACCATACCACAAACTGAAGGCTGGGATTGAGTTTGGGGGGGCGTGATGTGTGAAAATTTTCAACTTAAAGTTGGTTAATTATTTCTGATTTAGATATAAAAGCAAATAATAATGATGTGGTTTGATTTTATCAAAAACTTAAATTGAAGTTATATATATTGTAAATTTAGGTTACATTGGAATTTAAGAATTGGCTTTGGGGTAGGGTTATGGCTCAAACCTTTAAATAATAAGGGAAAAAAAGGTGAAAAAACAAGGGTTTCCAGGTTAATAGACAAATAAGTACAAAACATTATTTAAAAGCAGTGTAAGGTTGGTAATTCAAACTCATTTAAATATCTCACTTACACTGCTTTTAAATTATGTAAATTGGAAATTTGCCAATAACTTTATTGTTAATAAATGCATTGGAAATTTGCCAACAATTTTAGTATAATAAACTTCATTGGAAATTTGCCAATATAAAATTTTGCTGATGAAGGTTTTTTGTTTACCTTTAGCCTTGACTATGAAGTCATTTTCTATTTTTATAGCCTTATGATGTAGTTGAATTATTTAATACTTTTATGAAGTGTTTAAATGGGGTTTTATGGTTGCAAATTTATTGTTTTAGTTTAATAAACTCCATTTAAAATTTGGTAATAAAAAAAATTTTTGTTTATTTTTAGCTATGATTATGATGTCATTTTCTATTTTACTTTTATGGTTGCAAAGAAATTTTTATTTTTAGATATTACTGTTAAATGATGCTGATTAAGGTTTTTGCTATGTTTAGCCATGACTATGATGTCATTTTCTATTTTAATATCTGTCATGATGTATTTAAATGGGCTTTTATGGCTACAAAGGAGTTTTATTTTTAGATATTACTGTAAAATGTTGCTGATTAAGGATTTTGTTTATTTTTAGCCATGACTATGATGTCATTTTCTATTTTAATACCTTTATTATGTAATTTCCATTTTTAGATATTACTGTTAAATGATGCTGATTGAGGGTTTGAATGCTGGGATTGATTTTGGGGGTCATTGCCTCCAAATTTTAGGAATTAGGGGGCAAAAAACAAGCATGTTTCTAGTTTCATGACAATAACTTGTGTGTAAGTGTATGGATATTTATGAAATTGTACTACAAGGTTCCATATCACAGAGGGAAAGCTAGAATTGAGTTTGGGGGTACTTGCCCAAAACGTTTAGGAATAAGGGGCCAAAAATAAGCATTTTTCTAGTTTCCAGACAATAACTTGTGTTCAAGTGTATGGATCTCTCTGAAATTGTACTGCAAGGTACCATACCACAAAGGGAAGGCTGGGATTGTTTTTGGGGGTAATTGTCTCAAAATGTTAGGAATTAGGGGCCATAAAGGGGCAAAAAAACAAGCATTTTTCTAGTTTCATGACAATAACTTGTGTGTAAGTGTATGGATCTTTATGACATTGTACTGCAAGGTTCCATATCACAAAGGGAAAGCTTGGTTTGAGTTTGGGGGTAATTGCCCTTAACTTTTAGGAATTTGGGGCCAAAAAGGTGCAAAAAACCCAAGCATTTTTCTAGTTTCCAGACAATAATTTGTGTTCAAGTGTATGGATCTCTCTGAAATTGTACTGCAAGGTACCATACCACAAAGGGAAGGCTGGGATTGAGTTTGGGGGTGATGAATCATAAGGGGGTTTCAAAAAATTTGGGGGGGGGGATTTTTTTTTCTTTAAAATTTTCCATTTTAAATTGGTTATTTCTGATTTATATATAAAAGCAAATAATAATGATATGGTTTGAATAGGTAAATTAAAAAATTTTAAGTTCTTAGACTACTTTCATTCTGTGTGAGAAACCTATGCTGTGTCAAATATTTAATTACAATCCAAATTCAGTGCTGTATCAAGCTTGAATGTTGTGTCCATACTTGCCCCAACTGTTCAGGGTTCGACCTCTGCGGTCGTATCAAGCTGCGCCCCAGCGGAGCATTTTATTATTTTCATAAATTTCTAATATGACATTGAGAATTATTTGAACTTTATTTGTTTATAGTCTGACAACAGATATACTAAGTATTGCACAACAGCAAGACATCTTTGATTGAATATAAATTCAATTCATATAACTAATTTCAAGTTCTTGGACTACATTTATTCAGAAACCTATAATATGTCAAATATTTAATTACAATCCAAACTCAGACCTGAATCCAGCTTGAATATTGTGTCCATTTTTTGCCCCAACTGTTCAGGGTTGAACCTCTGCGGGCGTATCTAGCTGCGCTCAGCGAAGCAGTTTATTTAAGAAATGGATGCTTATAACATGTTTAATTTGCTCATTTTTAAAAGATGACATTTTGAGAACGTTGCATGGCGGCGCTTCCGTAGATTTACTTTTTCCAGGGAATGCTTCATCTGTTGATATATACTGTGAACGTTTTGTGTATATCTAAATATATTTACCTATGTTGAAAGACGTGTATAATGTCAAATCATAAAAAAAACAAATTGTTTAGTCTCAAAGAAAACTTGTAAGATTTCCGCAGCTATTTTTGTTGATAAGTGCAATTTGGGTACTCGGTGCAATTTGGGTTAGTCCTCATTGGTCATGCACAAGTGACTTTTAAATTTTTATATTTTGTTATCTGATTAAATGTGTAATTAATGTACCATTGATTTGTGGTATTTCTTTGCATCAGCATTCATGTCCTTTAGCTTTGGGGAATCTATAGAGAAATATTCTATAATCATGCTTCAGGAACTTATATTGTTCATGTGGGAAATTACCAGTACTTAATACTATGTGTTCCAACATATTTAAACTTTAAATTGTGTGTTTCAATCAAAATGTATTCATTTTGAAGGTCTGAAAATTGAATATAAGTTTTTGATGTGAGCTCTTGATCAAACACCAAAAAACAGCATTTATTTTACTTATTTAGATACATTCTCACATTTATAGTTTCTTTAGTTATTTCAGTTCTGTACAAATTATACTGGATTACATATGGTTGTACCATACATTTCATTTAACAGATATTCACATACAGCTCAAGTCATAGGTAATCTGTTAGTCTTGATTGGTGGAGTCAACTTGTGTCATCAGTCACCAGGTGTCGCTGTGATCAACTTATTGTCAGGTGCATGTGCAGAATATGCCCTTTCTGTATGTATATTTTTGTTTAATATATCATGTAAAAATGTTACATATAAAGTTCTCATGGTATAAGGGACTGTGCAAACCTCATTGGGGTTAGAACTTTTAAATGCCTTGTAGGATAATAATTCACCAATATTCATTCAATAACCCTTTTATTGTAAAGCAAAGCTTGAAAAACTATTTAGAAATAATATTTTGTCACTGACAACATCACTGATTTGCAGCTTTGTTTGCACAAGTGCAATATAAGATATTATTGGAGGCTAACATTTGGTTACTTTCTGTATGCCTTGTTGCTATACAATAATAAGTATTATTGTTACTTGGTACCAGAGGTCATTTCATCAATAAGGTTGGAATGTAATTCTGCAAGATCAAGATCATCATGTCTAACTCAGAGCTTTTGAAGGCTTTAAAGGATATTATATTTGCCGACCACCAGAAGGTGTGTCATGGATAAGGTTGGAGTGTACCTGTCTGCACAAGCAGGTCAATACTTTGAATACTAAGGGGCCAGGGCCCAGGGGTATCATTTTGTGAGCTTTGCTTGCAGTATCTGTAGTTTTGGCTTGGTCATATATAAATCCTTGTATGGATTGTTTTTAATGCTATCTCATAGGCATGTGACGGTATATTAGTAATATTACAATTTCCTTATATAGTACATTTACTAAATTCAAAATTTTCACTTGCAACACAGGTATCAATGGCCTGCACTTCATAAAATTGACAATGGAAACGGCATGCATGAATATCTGCTTAATTTTAGAACCTTGATTCGTTTGTCATCATAAAGTAAATATGCAGATTTACTGTAATTCAACATTTCACTGCTCTTTGTTTTTCTACAACTGCTTTTTTCTCAATATTACAGTGGATTTCTTTAATATTACAATAGGTTTTCAATGTTATATAAAACAGGGTCAAAACTAACCTTTATTTTATCCTTATTAACTGGTTTCAAATGCATCTTTTATAAACCTATGATGAGGAATTTTGTATTCCTTTTTACCATTTAGTCCATATCCGTTTATTTCCCAAATTTGCAGCATATTTTTTTTTATTACAGCCAACATTTAATGTAGGAATAGTTTATATGCATCTTGACTCAAGCTATGTCTTTTATATATTTTAGGACTTAGGTAATTTGAGCGTTGCATTTGTCGTCAATCATCTCTATCTTTTAACACTTTGATCTTCTCGTGAAAACTCTGTAAAAGAATGAAAGTAGATGGTAAAAATAATCCTTCCATGGTTGTTTCCAAGTAATTTAATCAGCTAAAACAAATATCTTTATTTTAGTATCTGATTGGCTCGTTTTAAAACAAAAAACTTCAACTCAAACACTATTTAATGATTAGACCTACATGTTTCCTTGAAAGTTATTATTGGAAATTATATTTTTAAGAACAGATGAGGTGAACTAAATATGGCTCCTAGATTAAATAAGGGTCAGATTGGTCCCAAGATTTTCCAGAAATTGAAATGGGTATAACAGGTGAAGGAATGGCAATTATTTATTTATCATATGGTATTAACCCTGTAAGCCCAACTTCTCCTGTCTCATGGGTATCAGTGAAAATGTACATTGGACTTAGTATGCTTTATGAAGGAAAATAAATCGGTTCAAAGGTCTTCAGGGGGATAAAATTGGTCAAAGGTCATCTTTGTACATCTTGTCACAGGTGAACCCACTACTGTCTTTCGCTAAAAAGAAGTAGTTTTATCAGATGAGGGATTTAGGCTGTAATGTAGGTTTTTGTGATTCATAAGAATCTATGCTTCAGTGACTTTCATAAATTTTACATTCTTCAAATGTTTCATGTTTAGTTGTGTATACACATGTATTAGGAATAACTTATGACAGACTATTTATGTTTGAAATACTACTGTGTTAGTATCTGACATGGTCTTACTCTTTAGTCATACTCCATTTCCGCCTCAGTGGTCTTGTGGTAACATGCTCATCTTGAGTGTGGGAGTTCATGGGTTTGATTTTCCAGCCTCTTCAAACCAAAACTTTAAAACCTGTATTTGGTGCTTCTCGGCTAAGCACACGGCAGTAAGGAGTAAGAGCAAAGACTGGTCGTCCTTGAGTCTGGATAATGTATCATAGTATGGTGACATGTCTTCCTGATTGTTACCTTGTGAACTAGCACGTTAAAAGACGATCTAGTACAAAGCAGACTTCATATTCATATTGCATTAATATGTTCTCCTGGTGAATATACATTATTTTGGACATTAAAAAGCATCCATCATCAACATATTCCATTAAGCATTCTTCAGTGTTAGTATGGTGAGTTTTTAAAGTACAGGTACTTACTGTTTTATAAACCTATATGTTATAAAATGACAGCCTATGCGGTTTTTGAATTGACTGTAAAGCTAGCAAGATGAATTTCTATGTTAACAGTTTTTGTTTTTCTTCTCAAGGTACCAGACCCTGACTTTTTGGTATTGTTACACCAGCACCAGATCTGTTACCTTGGAAATGGGAGATTTGTTGTGATTGGAGGTGGCGGTAACTGTTTCTCTTTTGGAACTCTTCTGAATAAATCTCCATTAGTTCTGGATATCAACAAATGTGTTCAGCACTTCACCCAAACTGTTTGCAACAAGAATGGATCAATGTCTTAAAGATAAAGCATAAAACAATGATAACTTAGGAATCAAATTAAAAAAAATATTTAATTTTATACTATAATGTTATTTTTTTTTGTTTTCTGGTTCATGTGGGACTTTTTAACTGCTCATTGTATTACTATTTGTTACCAACTGTGATATGTGAATAGTGGAACATTGATTTCAAAGTTTTTTCAAGGGACTTATTTGGTATTTATCTGAGGGAAAGCATGATTGGCTTGAATATATTTGTTTTTCATGGGGAAATACTACAAAAATATTCTTATATCCATTTTAGCCATACATTTGGTATTTTTTTTATTTTTAATTTATAAGTCCAAACAATTATTTTAATACTAGCACCTACCAGTGGAATGGGCTTATATTTAAACCCCCTTCATTCAATCTTTCCTCTAGAATTACTACGATTGTTTCCTTTTTATCACATGTTGTTGTTTTATAATTAAAAGTAAAGATTATCATTCCATGAATTAGCTTGGTATGAAGCATCCCTAAATCAATTCATCAATCAATTTTTTAAGTTACAGCCTTTTGACCTGAAAGTTCCATGAAATTTTGGTTGATGATTTTCCTAATGCAGAGGATTTCATCATTTGTAGTGTAATAAAGAGTAAAACATAGACTATATGTTTTGTTTTTAGTTGACTTATTACTGATGAAAACTTTTCATGAAATTCCTTTCATTTTTATCCTGTGTTTGCAGCTGTTTAGAACTATATATATGGAAAAAATTAAAATAAATATTTATAGACCAAAAAGCTCAGCTTACTTTCTTAAGATGAAATATTAGAACCTATGAATAGACTTGCTGAAGACATGGATTATTTGTCATGAAGACATGCCTAGTTTGATTTTAATCTTATGATATTGTTACGCTGCTGACAGTACCCATACAAAAAACTTCCCTGTGTTGATATTTTAGTATATCAAAGTGGTGAATGTTCTTTATTTTATTTTGAACCTTTTATATTTTCTTTTATTCAGAAAAAACACTTTTCTGTCATTTTATGTTTAAACCAAAAGTGTTCAACTTTTATAATTTTAAATGACTCATTTTATCATGTAATGTTTTTACCTTGCATCTGACATGAGTTATTCATAAATATAAGCACTTTTAACATGTGTATTACAAACTGCTGACGAAACCAAATGTTGTTAGTTTATTCTTTACAATGATTGATTGGGGGCCTCAGTGGCCGAGTGGTTTAAGTAGTTACTACTGTAATCACTAGCCAGTCAACACTGAGCTTGTGAGTTCGAACCCCGCTCGTGCTGGTGCACTCGACTCCAATCTTAATTGACTAGGATTGTCAGTTTTCCTATCGAAGGTTGGAGGTTTTCTCCTGGCACTCCGGCTACCTCCACCAATAAAGACTGGCCGACACGAAATAGCCCAAAAGCGGTGCTTAAAAGTGGCGTTATAAACACAAAAAATCAAATCTTTACAATGATTGTTAAAAAAAGGAGTAAAATGGTTTTTCTGAAATGGAGAAGTTAAAAAATACTATTTTCAGCTCACCATTCCGAAAGGTGAGCTTTTGCAATCACTTGGCGTCCGTCATCGTCTGTCGTCGTCCGTTGTCCGTCTGTTGTAAACTATTTCAAACATCTTCTCCTCTGAAACTACTGAACCAATTCCAACCAAACTTAAGCTGAATGATGCTTAGGGTATCTAGAATAAAGTTTGTGTTTTATTTACTGTTTAGTCAAATAACATGGCCGCCATGGCTAAAAATAGAACATAGGGGTAAAATGCATTTTTAGCTCACCTGGCCCAAAGGGCCAAGTGAGCTATTCTCATCACTTGGCGTCCATCGTCTGTCATCGTCGTTAACTTTTTACGTTTTGAACTTCTTCTAGAGAACCACTGAATGGAATGCAACCAAACATGGCATGAATGTTTCTTATGAGGTGTTGACCAAGTGTTGTTACTTTGAAGCCGATCCATCATCCAAGATGGCCGCCAGAGGGGGACTTGGTTTAACATAAGACCTATGGGAAATACATACAAATGTCTTCTTTCAGAGAACCACTGAATGGAATGAAACCAAACATGGCATGAATGTTCCTTATGAGGTGCTGACCAAGTGTTGTTACTTTGAAGCCGATCCATCATCCAAGATGGCCGCCATCGGGGGACTTAGTTTAACATAGGACCCTATGCATACAAATGTCTTCTTTTAGAGAACCACTGAATTGAATGAAACCAAACATGGCATGAATGGTCCTTATAAGGTGCTGACCAAGTGTTGTTACTTTGAAGCCGATCCATTATCCAAGATGGCTGCCAGCAGGGGACTTAGTTTAACATAGGATCCTATTGGAAATACATACAAATGTCTACTTTTAGAAAACCACAGAATGGAATGAAACCAAACATGGCATGAATGTTCCTTATGAGATGCTGACCAAGTGTTGTTACTTTGAAGCCGATCCATCATCCAAGATGGCTGCCAGCAGGAAACTTAGTTTAACATAGGACCCTATAGGAAATACATACAAATGTCTTCTTTTAGAGAACCACTGAATGGAATGAAACCAAACATGGCATGAATATTCCTTATAAGGTGTTGACCAAGTGTTGTTACTTTGAAGCCGATCCATCATCCAAGATGGCTGTCAGCAGGGAACTTAGTTTAACATAGGACCCTAAGGGAAATACATACAAATGTCTTCTTTTAGAGAACCACTGAATTGAATGAAACCAAACATGGCATGAATGTTCCTTATGAGGTGCTGACCAAGTGTTGTTACTTTGAAGCCAATCCATCATCCAAGATGACCACCAGCAGGGGACTTAGTTTAACATAGGACCCTAAGGGAAATACATTCAAATATCTTCTTTTAGAGAACCACTGATTGGAAAGGAACCAAACATGGCATGAATTTTCCTTATGAGGTGCTGACCAAGTGTTGTAACTTTGAAGCAGGATTTTTTATTAAATTACGGGGCCAATATTAAACCAAATTTGGCCTCATTCATTATTTGGGTATCTGTTGTGATTTTTATCTATTTTTACATGATTTTCAAAACCAAAGTAGAGTCGGTAAGCGACACAGGCTCTTGAGAGCCTCTAGTTTGGCTTATATCTCAAAAACCAAAGCATTTAGAGCAAATCTGACATGGGGTTAAAGTGTTCATTAGGTGAAGTTCTATCAGCCCTGAAATTTTCAGTTGAATCTGATAACCCATTGTTGGGTTGCTGCCACTAAATTGGTAATTTTAAGGAAATTTTGCAGTTTTTATTGGTATGACGTTGGCGTAGTGTATATTGGTATGATGTTGGCATCGTTGTCACCCAAAGACACATTGGTTTTCGCACAATAACTTTAGTTTAAGTGAATGGATCTCTATGAAATTTTACCATAAGGTTCAATACCACAAAAGAAAGGTGGAGATTGATTTTGGGGGTTATGGTACCAACAGTTAAGGAATTGGCGGCCAAAAAGGGGTCAAAAATAAGCATTTTTGTAACTTCCAGACAATAACTTGTGTTTAAGTGTATGGATCTCTCTGAAATTATACCACAAGTTTCAATACCACAAAGGGATGGTTAAGATTGGCTTTGGGGGGTTATGGCTCAAACCGTTTAGGAATTAGGGGCAAAAAAGGGGAAAAAACAAGGGTTTCCTGGTTAATGGACAATTTAAAAGCAGTGTAAGGGAGGTAATACAAAAACAAAATTGTACAATGTTGCACAATGTTGGATTTCCTCCCTTTTACTGCTTTTAAATTATCTATTTAAGACTTATATGATGTATTTAAATCGGTAATTATGGTTGCAAACTCCATTGGAATTTGAATTGAGATTATGACCATATCTTGGGGAAAGATTTTTTTTTTTGGGAAAAGGGGGGGCGTGGGGGGGTAAAAAAGAAATTGTGGGGGACAATTTTTTTTTTTCATTTCAGATTTCAGAAATTAAAAAGAAAATTTCTTCAAATATTTTTTATTTTGCAAAAAAAAAAGGTGGGTTAAAAAAAAAAAGGGGGGGGGGGGGGGGGTCAATAAGCAATAGCATAGTGTATTGCACAAAAGCAAAAAATTGAATATAAATTCAAATCATATAACCAATTCTAAGTTCTTTGACTTCAGTTATTCGGTGTCAGAAACCTATTATGTGTCAAATATTTAATTACAATCCAATTTCAGACCTGTATCAAGCGCTAATATTGTGTCCATTTTCGCCCCAACTGTTCAGGGTTGGACCTCTGTGGTCGTATCGAGCTGCGCTCAGCGAAGCATTTTATTGGTTATTATCTTGAATATTATTAATGATAAAGATAAACTGTGAACAGCAAAAATGTTCAGCAAGGTAATATCTACAAATAAGTTCACATGATCAAAATTGTCAATTGACCCCTTAAGGAGTTATTGCCCTTTAAGAACAATTTTACACAATTTGTTTATGTTTTCTAACTGGAAAAAATCTTCTTCTCTGAAACTACTGAACCAATTCCAACCAAACTTAAGCTGAATGATTCTAAGGGTATCTAGAATTAAGTTTGTGCTTTATTTTCTGTTTCGTAAAAAAACATGGCCGCCATGGCTAAAAAAAGAACGTAGGGGTAAAATGCAATTTTTGGCTTATATCTCAAAAACCAAAGCATTTAGAGCTAATCTGATGGAGGTAAAAATGTTTATTAGGCCAAGCTCTGTCAGCCCTGAAAATTTCAGATGAATCTAACAACCCATTGTTGGATTGCTGCCACTTAATTGGTAATTTTAAGGAAATTTTGCAGATTTTGGTTATTATCTTGAATATAATTAATGATAAAGATAAACTGTAAACAGCAAAAATGTTCAGCAAAGTAAGATCTACAAATAAGTTCGCATGACCAAAATTATCAATTGTCCCCTTAAGGAGTTATTGCCCTTTAAAATCAATTTTTCACAATGTGTTCATTTAGTTTGCTTACTTTAAAAAATCTTCTCCTTTGAAACTGCTGAATCAATTTCAGCCAAACTTGGGCTGAATAAGTTTCAGAGTATCTAGTATAAATTTTGTATTTTATTTTCTTGTACGTCAAGAAACATAGCCACTATGGCTAAAATGAAACATAGGGGTAAAATGCATTTCTTTGATTTTGAAGAAAATATGACAGATACAAAGAACATTTCAATGGAAGTTTTAAGCCATTCATTAATATATATTGAAAAGCAAAAATAATCATTGATGAAAGATTTAAGCAAAAAATTACAGGTGGGCGATTCAGGCTCTTGAGAGCCTCTTGTTTGTTATCCTCTCTAAATATTTTCATCTATTGAATTGATATGTTGTAGACAAATTCTTTCCACAAATACATTATTTTCTGTTTGAAAGAATACTCTAGGACATAATTTCCAATACTAATTTTCTCTTGGGCTTCTCTATAGATTGAACAAAACATGTGTCCTGTGGACTCACTGCCCAGCTCACAATATCCTATGTCTGAGTTCTGTGAACTGGGAAATGAGGTTCCAAATCTTACTATGTCTTATAGTTCAGAAAGTTCACATTACAATGCATATGTGTATAAGTTTAAAAGTTTCAACTACAATTTCATGTTAAGCTACCTTTACCAAAGGCAGTGTCTGCGCGTACCCGCATGCGGGTACGAATAGTCAAATTGCCATTCGTA